GTCCTGCTTCAGTCTCTTGCTTCCTTCTACGCACTCTGTAGCAGGACAAGGTTAGAGTTCCCGGTGCCTTTTCTCTCCCTCTAAAAGCACCAGCGGCCGGTATTCCTGCAACCGCACAAACGAAAGACGCGCAACGCAAGTCCGTTTCCTGTACTTCCCGCCCCGGCTCCCCGCCGCTTGAAACCGTCACCAAAACGTAAATCTTGCGATGATTATCATATGCTTTTCTGGCTGCCGCTCTCCGGTCACCGTTCCCGTCAAACCTGTCCATCCCTATTGTGTTCCGATTTCCTGATAACCTTTATAAACTCACATGTCCTCCCGACTTTCAACCAAGGTTCTGTTAGCCAAGGTATGGACTACTTTCCGGCTCAAGGTGTTTGGGGCTGAGCCAACCCCAACCGCTTTCCCGTCCGGCCGCCGCTCCAGGGATGGATGGATTGTCAAATACTTTTTTGGCCGTAGCTGGCATGCCACACCCAGTCTTGGTACCCCGGCTTGCCCAGTACTCTATCCGTGTACCCATGTGGTCTTTTTCACACTAAAACATTGTACTAAAACATTGATGTTTCCTTGTCAAAGAGATTGCTCTTCAGACGCATGGACTCGGGCGAAAGAACGGACGATGACGCACTGGGTTCCGGGCTTTTCCTCAACGATGGGGATGGAGGGGGAGGGGGAGCTTCTGCTTCGCTGCGTCAACACAGACCATCATGTCCCGAAATAGGTGAGGAATGCAATTCTCGCCGCATTGGTAATCACAGAGCTGGAGCATGACTCTTGTCATAGCTTCAAGTTCGGGCAGCTCCATGTTCTACTCGTCAAATCGTTGATTCATGTACTACCTCAAGGTAGGCGGGTTATATATACAGCCGAACCGGAAAATCCGCCCAATCCTTCTTACAGCTACATCCTAGCTTGCGTTTCTCCCCCCTCCCCTCCCCCTCGAGCTCGCAACGTTTCTACGCGCTAGGCTCGGCCCACTCGTAAGTGGAAGCTTGCGGGACGCCAAAGTTGGGCGTGCCGTCCGCGTTGGCCGTGATGGGCTGGACCATGACATAGCGGTTGTCGTCGCACGCGCCGTTGGCGTTCGCCGTGGCGTGGAAGGTGATGTACGTTTCCGTCTCGTCGGGGCTGCGGAAGAAGCTGTTGTGGCCCGTACCAAAATTGCCGTTGGCCGCCGTCAGCTGGCACCCGTTGCTCTTTGTCCAGGCCGAAGGGGAGGACGGGTCGGTGACGCCGTCCCACTCGAGCAGGGCGACGCAGTAGTCGGGCGTCCAGCAGTAGTTGGCCGAGTAGGCGATGTACGTCTTGCCGCCAAAGTAGAGACCGTAGAAGCCCTCCTGAACGGGGACCTCGCTCTGCTCCCAGGGCTGGTCAGGCTGGGAGATGATGGTGATGTTGGGCGAGGCGGAGATGTAGTCGTCGTTGAGCTTGCGGACGCAGGCGGACTGGTGCGAGACGCCAGTCATGCAGGAGTAGACAAAGTAGTTGCCCCAGTCGTTGAAGCGGACGACGGTGCCATCGAGGGACCAGTCGTCAGTGACACGGCCTGCATAAGACCAGTCATCCCAGGGAGAGGCGCCGCCTGGATTCGAGTGTAAGCATACGTCCCTTCTGTCGACTTCTCGGCATCATTACTTACCCTGCAAAGCATGCATCCTCTGGCCATCCAAGTTACCGTCGTTGCCGGCGGTGTAGTAGAGGTACCATCTACCGTCAAAGTAGTGGATCTCGGGAGCCCAGACGCTGCAGCATCGCGTCGGGTTCGAGTCGGAGTAGATGACCTTGGGCGTGGCCGTCTTCAAGCCTTCAATGGTGGTGGCACGCGCGAGCTGGAGGTTGGTCCACTCGGTCGAGATGAAGTAGTAGTACCCATCGAACCACGAGATCTGAGGATCACCACCGCCGGGGTTGCGGATGGGGTTGGTGTAGGCGGCGGCCGAGCCGAAGAGGCTGAAGAGCCCCAGTGAGGCGGAGACGATCTTGGAGAAGAACATGGTGTGTTCCGAGGCTGCGGGCTTGACTGGAAGATGGTGCCTTGCTTCAGGATGCTACATGATGCCTTCCGAGGGGAGAGCTTCTCGCGTCTTTATAGGTCCTGAAGCCGTGACATCGGTTGACATGAGGTCGCAACGAGACTGCCGACATCATCAGTTTCCCGAGCGTTCCTGGGGTAGATCCACGCGGGAAGGCATTTTGGTGGCACGGTTGCGGTCCCTGGTGGGTTCTGTCAAGACAACATGCTCGATTGTAACTGGAGCGCTTTCTGCCACACGTCGAAAGATGCTCGAGTCAAGACGAACGAACAGCCAGGGACGATCCGGCAGCAAACGCAAAGCAAACCCCATCAATCATTCCATCTCGGTGCTCGGTTCGGGCAAGACAATACTCAAGATGCGGAGAGGCCAAGACCAGCTAACGGGCGAGGGCACCCGATGTCGACGTCGACTACCGGTACCTTGCTTGAGAGAGGTTACACCGGATTGGCGCGCGAGAAAATGAGAGCAGCGGGCGGCGGAGATGGCGGGGTAATAAACGAGAGAAAGCTCGCACTAACTCTTAACGGGTTGAGCCAAGACTCTTCTCCCTCTCTCTCCAGACTCTCTCCAGTTTCTCTCACTTGGTCCATGTTGTCCGGGGTTTGGAGCCACCGTTGTCACCTTAATCTGTGGGGTTCGTCCGGTCGTTGTCACCGAGGAGGCCTGCGAGAAGCCCCGGCATCTCCCACATTGTCGTTGTTTACCCCGTATTCGCCCAATCTGTCTCCCATGTCAATGAAGCTCGAGGCTCGCGCCGAATCCACTTCCAAGTTTCTCCTTGGGCGCGTGATGGTCCTGCCCCGCGTCTTATTGCGTCTCGTTGGTGACACCCAGCCTCTCGAGGCGGTACACATGCACTGTGGTTCCATCGCGAATTCTTTTCCCAAACATGCTTCTAATAAGCGCTCATTGACGTCACGACCCAGCTCAAAGTCTTTGCCATGGCCCTAGCCGCGCCCATTTGCCTCCTGCTGTGGTGCGCTTATAGATTCATAACTCAATCTAATTCAATTGAAAGGAACATGTGCTTTTTACGAAGGCCATTACAAGGATAAACGGAACTAATTGCAGTCTACTATGCTTGGCAACGTGACGATCCTCAGCTTTGCGACAACACTCTCGTAACCTCTGGGCTGCCGCGAGGCAAATATGCAGTACATAGTGAAGTTTTTGACCGTCCAATTGAATCACTAGATGGGTTGATCGCCATGAGGGACGAGCAGAAGCACTCTACTATTACCAAACTCTTCTGACATTGAATGATCGATCCTTGATGTGATGATTCAGTTGTGTGAGGTTTTGCTATGACGATGACGACAAAAGCAATTGATCGCAGCGACAGCATGTGTAATCGACTGCAATGTTCAAGTTGAGCCCGGATGGCCATTGGAATGGGGCGAGTAGTTGATCTCTTCAGCCGTCGACGCTGAGTACTCTCTCTTCCTCAGCATTAGATGCAACCAGGCAGTAAAAGTGGCCCTCGATAATTAATCGGCTTGTTTACCCATGCTCTCCCTGGTATCCAATGTTTTTTTTTTCTTGTTCCAAGTGCACTAAAGGGAAGCTATTCTGGTTCGGCGATTCACAACTGTGGCAAGGCACAACGTCTGGAAACTGGTGAGCTACCCAGCCTCCAAGATGGCCCAAATCATAGAGTTTGCCCTTGTCCTCTATGAGCCCCGTCACAAAGACAGAATTCAATAGACACTTCTGAGAGAATGTACTATTTGGCAGCATTTGGAATCTAATGTTTGCTGAGAAAGCCATATGATTGATATGACAATGCCGCTGTTGACGATGGTCTCACTTACTTACAAAGCAAGGTCTCGTCGCAATTGGTCGACTTGGGGCGACTCCTAGTAGGGAGTGTCTCATCCGAAGAGCTATGTGACCACGAGCTGTTTACACCAGTCATATGTATGATTTTGATATAGAGCACACCCTCGGCCTGGGGTAATGTAGGTAGCAGAAAGTAGGTAGTGGAATACGAGGTCGAGAGAAGGGAACGCCTGACCCGACGACGAATGGCAACGGTACGAATCCAGAGAACCAGGTATCGAACTTTCTCATAAATATCATGGTTGAAAAGTCACTAAGGCGCGTTGGTTACGAGCCGGAAATTTGAGCAACAGCCAAGCCTCATGGTGAAGCAGTGTCATTTGACTGAGACATAGCCTCACAAGGATCCACAGAATTGACGGCAAAACCATATTGCACACAAGCTTTGAAAGGAACGCACTCGCCCAAGTAAGTTGACAGGCGACGACAGTTTTATCTCTATGACTTTTCCGTCCTGCCTTACCTGTGACTCTAGCGCATTGGCTGGGCTAATCACATAGGACATCACATCTCAAGCATTGGATACCTCACACATTTGACTGCTTGAACTTCAGACTGGCACGAGGACACGGTTTCTGTTATGGCACCGATATCACTACGCTCAGGTTGTTGATGCTACTTTGTGTTTGACATGGGCAGCTTTCGATTCTTCAGTGTCGGTCTTAGCCCTGGAATCGGATCTTGCAATTGGATAGTGCCGGAATGTCGTGGTGACTGCATGGAACTGGTGAGCTCGCACGCTAAGCCACATGGGAAGAGATTAGATCTGAGACATCGATCAGCCAGATTCTCTCAAGGCGAGATGATTGCCCTAGCTTTGATCATGATAGGTGACACACAGCAAGCCAGCTTCCGCTCCCGTCTGTTATGACACGATGTAAGAACCTTGCAACATGTGAGTGTTTCTTACACCTCTGATTTGGGTGCGTCTCTTGAAAATCCGATGGGTTTCGGAATAGTAGTACTGGTGGTGTCGTCACTTCAAGATTTCATTGGTCTCTTGGCATTGGAGGATCTTCGAGTCTACAACATATATGGAAGCGGCCCTTTGTTGTCTGCGGTAGATCAACGATCAACGCATTTGTCAATATCTGCGGGAGCAACTTTGAGAAGAGAATTATGTCATCCTATCTTCTCAACTCCATCCAAGAACTTAATAATTGGCATTCCTCGCAGTCGTGGTTCATGAGCGAAGCTCAACTATTTCAACTCAACACTCAACTCAGTACCAGCTATTATATCACCATGACATCTCCGCACACCAATCAAGAAGCTCTCAAGATCATTCTTACAAAGCTCAATCGTCTCGAACTTCGCTTCAATGAAATAGATGGCAGGCTAGGTGCCATTGAATGCTCTGTGGTCTCTGACACCAGCACAAACCTTCCAAGCAGCCCAACGACTCGACAGTCCGTGTCAAGCTGTACATGCACCCTCAGCGATATTCCTCAACCGCTATTCCAAGAGAATTGCAAACTCCGGCAATGTTCTGCTTCGACATACAGAGCCTCGGTTGATAGACTACGCCGTCGCTTCGAATTCGATGCTTGCTCTGAAGTCGCCCCAAGAATCTCTGAGGAAGAAGTCGTCTCTCCAGAATTCGATTTAGAGGAGATAATCGACGGCTACTCCGATGCTCAATCCGTATCTTTCTACCCCTCACGCTCGATATCACGATTTTCGTTTGCTCCTCGCGAATCGAGGCCGAGTCGCGATATTCCCGAAATTCCCTCTCTACGATATGAAGACTTGATGATTCATGCTGAGCAGACCTCGTACACGGAATCAAGTAGACGAAGCAGAAGGAGCTCAGCGACTGAAACCTTCTCAGAAGCAAACGACTCGCCTAGCACGGCTGCGACTTCATTTATTCAGGGATCATGGGCTGGCAGCAGGCGAAGCTCGACTGCGGGCATTTGCAGCAAAAGAAGGGGATCGATTCGACGCGCAGGTACCTTGAAACTCAATGAAGACCCAAAGGCAGAAAACAGAAACATAGACGCTCATACGGGGATGGAACAGGATCCGCCCGTTGCTATAAAGACAAATTTCATGAGCGCTGGGGAACGAGAAGACGTCTTGCGTGTCTACCAGAAGGCCCAAAAAAGGGCTAAGGCGTGCGTCGCTTTTGGCCAAAGGTTCATGTACAGAATAGGGAAACGCATGGTAAATATATCAGCAATTGAAAAAGCTTGATACTCGAATACAAAGATTCAAAACATTATCCTCAATCATCAGTGATCACTTTGAGGACAAGGCTCTGGGCAACATTAATTCGGACCGCAGCCCCCGGGCTTGCCAACTTCGATACTGTCGGTGATATTGTCGAAAAACTCGTGTCATCACAGAGACAGGAAGCTATTCTGCTTTACTTATGGGTGGTAAGAAATGTAACTGCAACACGTAGACTCAGCCCTTCAGCATGTTCCACCCTCAAAAGACTCGCTTGCTCTTGCATGTACCTGCCTCCTGAACTGACCAGTCAGAGCAAGGCATGAAAAGTGAGGAAATGGAAAATGGATTCCGTTTTCATTATGATGTTCCATGGCTTGTCTCGACAAAAACTCTAAATCGCGCTTCAAGGCCTTCCCTTCGGATCCCGCGGCAATCAACCAAGCAAAACCCAGCCCGCTCGTCGTCCGTTTCAAGCGCGATGAAATGTTCCCCCAAGCAGACCGTCTGAGCGCAGCATGGAGGTGGCATTTGCATGGTTGACAAGAGGCCAATTGGGCAGCAAAAGTGTAATCAGTCCAATGGGCCATACCGAAGTGGTGGAGTGAAGTCTGAATGTACTCTGTCTTTCATTTCTGCGGGGATTTTGGCCATGGATTCAACCCCCTCAAGGAGCACGACCTGTTGCCCAGCCTAAAATAAGGTTAGTTACATCGATGGTTCGCAATCTGCAAGAGGGCTTGATTGAACGTCGTTGACTTACTGCAAAATGATGAATCATATGGCAATGAAGCATGCTAGCGGCAGGGAAAGCTATCTCATATCGAATGACTGTCCAGTCTCCAGTGCTATTTCCGAGTCTGCAGCCGTCTCGATTGGGTGGGTTCATGAGATTGAAGTGCTTCGCCATGCCGCCCTCGCGAATTGCATCCTCGACTGTTGGCCACGGGAAGCCACCAGTCCCTGTGCCGATGACGAAAGCCTTGTTGTTGTGCTTGTGGAAGGGATGTTGAGATGTGACATTGGCACCGTTCTCGAAGATGATGTCCACAACGGTGCCATTCTGAAGCGCACCACCTTGTGTGTTGTCTCCGTAGGTAGTCTCGCCACGTGATTCCTCATCCCACAGTAAGGGTGGAAGCTGTTGACGGAACGCCTGATGAGGACCGATGTTCAATGCCCAACTGCTGGGGCCCGTCATGTTGACGAAGAATTTGACGGTGTTGTCTGCCTTGGGTGGTGGAGCCCGCACTGGGTAGGGTGCAAGCTTAGTCTCGTCCATGGCTACAGATGATGACGAGATCAGGGTTCCGTTGAGATAAACCCAAGGCTTTGTGTTAGGGATCTCTTGCTTCAATTCGTTGCCTTGGTCAGGATATCGGAGGATTCCGAAGCCCTGAATGACCTGCTCTGGACGAAGCGATGTCAATCTAATGGTATAGTCCCCAGGCTTCTGATCGAGTCGTACGAGAATACTATGTATATCTTGTCAGCGGTCCATCGTAAGACAAGGCTATTGTCACTTAGATGTTTCCTCACCTAATGCGCTCTCCAAGATTGCAATTGGCAGCATGGACCTTCTGGGGATGCACAAATTCTCCATCAGCGGCGACCACGTAGAACTCATGCTCATCCACGCTAATTTGTAGCTCGTGGTGCGCACCAGAATGAATGAAGTTAATCCAGATCCATTCTTCGCCGCTGTCAGCTTCAAAGATCTCCAGATCAGCAAAGGTCGGCTGGCAATTCTGCTCATTTGCGAATTCTTTCTGGCCATTTTGAGGTAAACAGCCAAGTGAGTTTCTTCCTGGGCCTCCCACAGAATCGATCAGTTCCCTTGGATGGCACACCGTCCTTCCCTTGCCATTGAGAACGATCGAGTTGCTGCACCATGGAACAATACCAGTATCCCGGTACATAATCAGTAAGATATCCATCGGTTCGGCGTTCCAGTCACTGATGACGACATGCTTGGGATGCTTCTCAGCTCGTTTCATGCCCTCAATGTCCCTCGGTGAGGATGATATCAACTCGTAAGGTCTTGGCCTCCATGCTGCAGGTGCAATCCATATCGGTCCTCGCATGCCGTCGGCAAACGCAGGCCCGAAGTGGCCATGATAGAAATAGCTTCCATACTGTTGTTGAACTGTGAAGCGGTATGTGTAGGTATCTCGAGGTTGAATGGAGTATTGTGTCACGCCAGGGACTCCATCATTCCAGGGCCGGTCGATTTGGTAGATGCCATGCCTGTTTGTGTGTAAGTCTGGGTAGGATGAGAGGCCATAATTGTGGATTGGCTGGGGAATACATACCAATGCATGGTCGTTTCAAAGGCGAGCTGGTTGTCCAAGAACACTTCAACTTCGTCGCCTTCTTCCGCTTCGATGAGGGGCCCCGGTGTCTCGTTGTTGATAGCAAAGACGGGTCGCCCATGTCCATCTCCCGCATCCCATTTGTTTGTGATGGTAAAATTATACCGCCTCGTCTGAGCTGCCAGGCTCACGCCGGCGAGCAAAGACAAGATTGCACACTTCGTAAGAGCTGCCATGACTGTCTTCCTGGCCCAGAGAGAAGTAGAGGAAATCGCTCGAAAGACTACCCAACACTGCTCTTTACGGTGCCCAACTTGTCCTCTTTTACGGCGTTCTTCCCGGGTCGGACTTCTGTCGTCCAGGTATCCCTACAACCATCCGATGCAACCGTTAGAGTTTACCGAGTCAGGGGTACCAACCCGCTTTCCCGCAACCTAACACAAAGGAAAACTTGTTCGACATGCTTCCGATCGGTTGGAGTTTACGGAGTGCAGGCGGAGTGTCACTTTAGAGTTCAAGCAGCATATCTGCCCCGTTCTTCGAGGCCTCTACGCTCGGTCGAATATCCCCAATTATCGTGAGGCTCCATACAGATCGGTTGCAAACCCCTGGCAGACCTCAAAGTGCCGAATCATGATCAACGCAATGCTCTACGAAACGGGGTCGTGCCCCTTTGCCACAACACCTTCGGAAAAGCTACAACGTTGCAAACTCACGGTCCGAAGGACAACGGCGACACCTAGCGTCTTCGAAGGGGAGATTAGTAGTCAGAAATCTGACTACCGAATTACGAATCTGACTCAGGGCGGGAGGAACCCCAGGAAACGTCGTGTCCCAAGTCCGCAGTCGTCATGGCCCCCGAAGTTGTTATTGTCAAGCTGCCCAATCCAAACTCCCTTCGTCTTCCCCCGATCCCCCTGGTTTAGAAATCTCCAAGCTCAGCGCGAAAATGGAATCAAAACAGCATTTACTTGACCAAACACAGCTCGGCGTTTCTCGAGAGAAGCCGAAGAACAGTTATACTCGGAATGTTTGGATCTCTGGCTTGTCCACGCTATTGCTCCTCGCCCTTACTGGGCTGTGGAGGAATGGGTACCCGCTCACGGGGCTGCTCGGTAGCTGGGGCCGCCACAACCCCAGTGGACAAGACAGACTCATGAGAGAGTACACGCTTCAGTCTGGAGTGAGATGGATGAACCCAGGTCTGGGCCAGGCTTACCATCAGCCCTATGGAAGTAACTAACTTGGAATCAGATGGCGGTCGATGGAGAGTCATGTTCGTTTGCAACGGACAAACGCCTTGCCCCACGCTGTACGCTGAAGAAGGCGATCTCGTCGCATTGACAGTCAAGAGCGATGTCTATGCTCAGTCTTCCATTCACTGGTCAGGATCTTCCCAAGTTTTGCGTCACTTTCTGATTCCATATTGACCCATCTGAAAAGGTCCGGCATTGGACATAAGGCGTAAGTGTGGAAGCAAACCCAGCAATGGAGTTTAGACTGAATAGAACACTAACTCGGTCGGTCATAGAACTGGAAGCTGGAATGACGGTACCGCTGGGATATCGCAGGTTCGACAGCACCTAGCGGCTCAAACGTGCAAAGCTTACATTGACGTGACAGTACCCTATTCTTCCTCGTGGCAACTTCACAAGCGTGATTGACACGACTGGCTCGTGGGGCCTCAATTGGTACGCTGAGCACACGACTGCTGCGTCTGCTGATGTAGGCTTCTCTCTTCCCCTATGTCACACTCGTTCTCTCGCCTGCTCAATGTCTCCATTCTTTCTTTTATCATTTTCTCTTTATCTCCCAATCTCCTTTCACTCGGAACTTCCTTCATAATTGCCAAACTACACAACTCTGACTTCGAACGTAAGGGCTTGTATGGTATGGTCTACGTAGCGCCAAGCCCATCTCGACTTCGTCCCTACCGTCTCATCACGGAAAATGACATCGAGCTGCGAAAGATCATGGAGGCGGAGAAGCAAGTCCGGCATCTCGCTATCAAGAATCACCAACACCGAGACACAGGCTGGAAAATGCTTCGCATGCGAGCTGAAGGGTCGGAGTTCTATTGCTATGATTCGATCCTCGTTAATGGTAAGCAAGTCCATTCCCATCAGAGCTTTCCACCACTGACTTGGGCCGTGCCTTGTAGGAAAGGGCCGTGTACACTGCCGCCAACCGGAATACGAACAATTGAACGGATTTCGCTTGGATGAGACAGGATGCATCCAACCACCTGGTCTTTCCGAAGAATCATGCACACCAAGTGAGGCGGACTACGAGGTTCGTGATGTCTGGCTGTCATAACATGTCAGCTACGAATGATGCTGACCACAACGCAAGATAATTGAAACGGAGGGGAGAGATTACATCATGCTGAACCTGATCAACATCGGCTTCGAGCACTCCGTCATGGTTTCTATTGACAACCACAAGCTGACTGTTGTTGCGAACAACGGTGGCTTCGTAACTCCCGAAGAAGCCGATGTACGTCCTCCCTCATAACCTCAATGCAGCTTTGACACAGCGCTTACAACGCCTTATAGGCTGTCTACGTGCCCAGCGCTGGAAGACTTACCGTTCTGGTGAGACTTGAGGCTGAACCTGGAGACTATGCCATGCGCATCTCATCCACAAGCCAAATGCAGAACCTGCAAGCCTACTCAATCTTGAGATACCCTGTATGCCTACTGTTCACACGATCAAGAATCTAAGCTGACTCGACGGACGTGGTAGGCTAGTCGTAGACCTATCTATGGTGAGCCAATGAAGGTTCCACAGCCGGCTTCAACCGACGACATATGTGTTCTGCCTGATGGTTCTACAAACCAGGGCTGCAAAGCTATTAATGGCCAATTTCTACCGCCTTACCCTGCCACGCCGCCTCCTTCAGCCAAGAATTCGCATCCAGAGACAGCAGACTTCACGTTCCATCTCGCCGCCGGATCTCAAGCTTCGCCCACGGAAGCTCATGTGCCGGAGTTCTACCTCAACGAGAAGCCTTGGCAGTTATTCCGCTCGTCTTTGATGCCTCTTCTATTTCAGGCAGCCAACGAGTCTGGTTACCTCGGATCTCTGGGCAAGCCCATCATCGAAGGTATCCCAATTGGATCCGTCGTTGATCTCATCATTGAGAACAACCTAAACGACACGGTACCACTCTATAAGCATGCCGATCCTGCTTGGTTGCTTGGCGCACAGCCGAACGCGAGGTTCTCGCACAAGAGCGTGAAAGAGGCTCTCGTAGGTCGCAACCACCTGCCCAAGTCCCTCAACCTCAAGGACCCTGCTCTTGTCACAGTGCATGACCTCCCTCCTCTGGGATGGAGTGTTCTACGATTCAAGGTCAACGCGAAAGCCGCTACTATGATTCATGCCGTGAAGCTTAGATATTTCGCGGTAAGTTAGTAGTCTGCACCTACACTTACAGAATTTTTCATGTTGGCAACCAGACTGACAACTTTGCGAACCTTAGCTGGGCATGTCTGCGCCGATCATGGAGGGCATCCTGAGTGGTGATCCCGCAGAGTTTCCCGAATCAGCCATCAATCGCCCACACGTGGATTTTGAGCCGAAGAACGATGGCGTATTTGGCTAGACCATTCTGAAAGCGTGTAGATCAAAGAAACGCAAAGCCTGTCGCTTATCTTGTCTTGTTGGTCATTGCAGGTGTGAGCCGGTCATTTTCGGATCACACCGAGTTGCCGTCCGGTCCGAACGTGGGATGGCAAGGATGGTGCGAAACATCGGCAAAAGTTGAAACGGCAACATGGCCAAACTGGAGACATGGACACACACACGAAAACGACGGCGCACCTGATGCTTTTAGACCAGCTTTCAGGCTGCCCTGGATTTGGGAGATATTTGAGCATGCGCTATGTACGGAGCAATGTTGACTAGAGAAGTGTATTGCATCGCTGTGTACCATTTAACGTAATATGATTTATCTATCTCAACTATCATTGCCATGTGTCAACAGAGTTCGTCGGATCTCCAAGCGAACAGACCGAAACCGTTGTCGTCTGAAGTCTATCCCTGCTGGAACAACTAGTTCACATCACAGCCGCAAATCTGCGAAAGTGCACCTAGGGTATCAATGGCTCTGCCCTCGTACAAATTACCCGTCTTGGCCTTCTGACGTTGCATCTAGATTCAACTTCTCACTGGTTTGCTGTTCTCGAGGCCTTCGTTCACTTTATCTTCCCACTCCCGTTTGTCTTGGCAGGTCCAAGTAGATGAAACTTTATTCTTACTCTATTTAGTAACTTCATTGTACACTGTCTCTCTGTCAAGGCCAAAATGCTAATCACCAACGTCGTCTCGGCTCTGTTGCTTTTCTCCGGTCTTTCTGCCGCGGCGCCAAGCTCCATACTTCCGCAGGCGAACGACAACACCCTGGAAGTCCGCGCGTCGAAGGATGTCAATCCAGCAGCCGTCACTGGCACTACGTGCACAGATAAGAACGCGTAAGTTACCATCCATACCCGAAATGCATAGGGAGCCGTCGAGCTAAAGAATTATTGTAGCAAGATCGATACTCACGATATGAACGTCGCCACACTGGCTATCTGCGGCGGCATAGCAGGGTCCATCCAGAAATGCGGCGGCGCACCAAAGAGCACTACGGGCGTATCAGGAACCGCGAAGTTCACCCTGAACCCGACCGCTTCTGGCGCCACGATTAATGTATCCAAAGGCCGCTGGGAAGGATGCATTCGAGCTGCGAGGGCAACATGCCCGAGTGGTAGTTTTAAGTCAACCTGCAAAGGAGGCGCAAGCACGGGTGATGTCGCCTTCACGCTCACTAATCCATAAACTTTGTTGTGATAGACTATATCAACAACATCAACTGGTATTTTCAAAGCATTTCACCGGAGTCTTTACTTACCTGAATGGTATTCTGTGCTGTCTCTCCGATCATCGTGAATTTGTTCGAAATATCGATCAGCTGTACGCCGCGGAATATCGTCGAAGCGGCCATGCCGCGCTACACACACCCAACTCTTTCTCGGGGTTTAGTCGTGCTAGCGATGTGAGAGTCTGCTCGCAACTAAGCCTAGAAACAACGCCAAATGACTTTGGGCCATGCCTGAAAAGCCAGATGTCTCAATCGAACACCTGAGTAATTAGATCTATCGCTATCTTGGAACCATTGCGGCGGATTGCAGTTGTCTGATTATAGAGACGTCACCAAAAAACACTGCCGTAACTCCAGCCTCAGTCCTTTAGCACACCGCCCTGATGACAGATAAAAAATTCTCACCTGTTCTTTCATTCTCAGTGTTCTAAAGAGAATTTAGAATCAAACTCCTGAGCTCTCTCGGACTCTAGGCCGAATGGGGTGCTGAGATGTCTATATGCAGCGTTGATCTGGATTAGGAGGGCAAAAGTCAACAGTGACTGCCCTCGAAAGAGTGTTTGGGCAAATCAAATCTGAAGCGAAAATAATAGCGACATGAGGTACGGTATTGCGGGATGCCGAAGCATCAGACCGCATTTAGTGACCATCTTTTGGAAATGAGGCGAAGATCAAGTTCTGCTGCCCCGCTAACTCGCGCATCTTGGGAGCAAGAAGTCTGAGTCAAGTCTAGGGGGGGGGGGGGAGAGCACGACACAATAACATATTGACCCAATATATCGAAGGGATACAAGGCGTTCTATGGTTATTCTTTCCTTGAGGCCTTTCGCTTCGACAGATTCTGGATTCATCAGGCCTAGTTTTCGTCGACATGAACTTCAATTTAGGGTCTTAAGAATGCGTCATGATCAAGTAATTGAGCAGCATATTCTGACAACGATGGAACTTCATCCAAGTTCCATGTTTGGTCTGTCTAGAAGTCCCTGATGCTCTTGTCCGTGGATAGAACGAAGTCCAGTCCTTAAGTTGGGCACCTGGTTGCGGGGACTCCCGAGGTCTAAATACTTGTCCCAGCAAAGTAGAAACGAAATGCCAACTTACAGTCTTGCCAATTTAAAGTCATTTACAAACAGGACTTGGCACAATAGATATCAGGATCAAGAGTTGGGGTCATTCAAGTTGCGTCGCACCGCTCCTGCCGACTTGGCAATCTTTGAGTCTGAACAACCCTCAATAGTAAGCAAGCATGTTGACTGAGTCTATATTTTTCTTACGTGAGTCAATATGCGGCCTCGTTAAAAGGCACAGCACTCTTCACCGACTTCTCCTTCCCAGTTGATTATAAAGAAATTGAGAAGGAAAACACTTTAACTAAGTTCCTTCGGTGAAGATCCTCTCCCACAACCCGTAGCAAATCTAGCCGATATTGGAGGGGCTCTGTTGGCTGACATGACTCGATGAAGTTCAAGTTGCCATCACTACCTACAGTATTCGTGATCAGTTGCCATTCTAGGTGCAGTAGCCCTTTCGCTCTTGAAGACTTCGCAAGTCGACCATCGATTGATATACTCTTTGTCCTCAGTCACAGTGGTTCGTGGTTTGCTGGAAAGGCTTCCTCCTACTTTCAATTAAAGTCTGCTTGAGTTGCTGCTACTGTAGCATTGAAAACCACTGAAATGTGACTAAAACAGCAGGTCAAAGTCACAGATGCGCTCAGGGGCGCTGTGTGGTGCCGTGCCATAAATGGTCGGTCGTATTGCGATGCGATAGCGAAAGGGCTAGGCAGAAAATGGGGAAATAGTCGCCTTTGTTACGGATACCATTACCCAAGAAATCGGGAGTGTTGTGTAAACTAACCATAAAGGCTCAGGGGAAGTTTCCGAGTACCTTAAATCACTTTAAATCACTTGCGGGTATATTGCCGCCAATCATGATGAAGGGCAGCAGGGAAGCGTGTCAGAGAATAATGGGGTCCGTGTGTGATCTTTTGACTAACGCATATTCTGTCAGCGTTTAGCGAGTGGCACGTTACGGGGTACGGGTCCTTCGGTTGAGTGGGATGAAGCCATCGTCTACTTGTAGATGTCCTTGGGAGGGGGCACCTTGACATTCGGAGAGAACGAGATCATCGTCATTTTGAAGTGGAGGATTTGATGGGGAGATCCAACATTGAAGTCATTGGCGTACGCACCCCCTCCTTACGAGTTCGGATGAGACTTCTCTTCTTCATGTTCCCTTGGACAAGGAGATGTGACTTCTTCCAGCTCACTTACTGTGTTTTACAGCAGCGAGACGCCCGACCGGGAACAGACTTGGTCCATTTGACAGGCTTGAAATCCATCAATCATGAGATTCCTACTCAATCTGTACCTCCCGGGTCTAGGGTAAAGACTGGGATATTCTTCTTGAGGTGATCGATGCAGGGAACAACACGAATAAGGCCAGCGAGAGGCCAATACGCGTCGGTGCTGATTGGTGTATTCTGCCCACCGTTTCATCGCAAATTGCCAACACTTTCTTAGAAACACTCCATCGAGCCCCCAAGGACGGGCCCAGTCTCAACTAACAAGGGCCAGCGGGTTACGCCTCTCAACACCAACTGCAGATTGTCCGCACGCAGTGAAGGATTTGGCCCTGTGGACCACTGGACTGTGACCAGGCCGGGCTGTATCCGTAGATCACCAGGTCACCGTGTGTGTGTTTGCCTGCTTCGCATCATACGTCTTGGCTCGAAGAGGAAATAATCCTTACCAGAGGGTCTTGGCGAAGTTGGCGCTTCTACTTACAAAAGATGGCGCCCCTCGATCGCTTGGAATGAAGAAGGATTAGTCTCCGAGCAAGTTCTCATCCATCTCGATTTCATTCTTTGCAAGGAAGCCTCTGTCTTTCTTCGTTCGCTCATTTGTTCATTCGTTATTCGCTCTTTTCTTCAACGTACACGTACAATAGGTTGCCCAAGATGGCCAGGTCAAACCAACTTCTCTTCACTATCTTCCTCGCCCTCACTACCGGCATCCATGCGGCTCCTCAGGCAGGCGCCCCCAAGGTAGTCGCGCGCGCTGAGCCCGCCGAGTTCGAGGCCCAGACCAAGGCCGGCCCCGGCGGCAGCAGCTTCAAGGACTCGGCCCACTTCCGCGTCTACGCCGGCGGCAGCTCCGCCGATGACTCTCTCGCCATGCTCGAGGGTGCCTACGAGTGCTTCGTCAACACCCTCGGCTGGCGATCCTCTGGCCTCTCCTTCAACGAGGGCTCCGACAGCGGCCCTTACTACAAGACCAACGTCTACTCCGTTTCCAAGCTCGACAACGCCGCCGGCGTGATGCACTCGGAGTACGAGTCCGGCGCCGGCTGGCTCGAGGTCGTCGACACCTACCTCGCCACCCCGGGCGTCACCGTCCACGAGTACGGCCACGCCTTGCACTACCACCAACGCACCTGGGTCGACCAGGAGCGCACCGGTGCCTGGTGGGAGACGGTCGCCAATTGGGTTGCCGACACCTACAACACCTCGCCCCTCTGCGCCGACGCCCGCACCAAGCACAAGTCCCCCGAGGGGCGCACCGAGTTCGAGGTCAACAAGGTCCTTGGCGACTCCTTCCAGGTCATTGTCGACGGCACCGTCGACTCTGGTAACTACTACCAGGCCTGGCCGTTCCTGACCTACCTCACCAACAACCCGGACAACATTGCCGGCCTCGGCAAGGACACGCTTCACCAGATGATGGTCCAGTACGAGGCAAACAGCAACGAGACGCCCCTCCACACCCTCGACCGCGTCGCCAGCAACACTACCGCCGGCGAGATTGTCGGCAAGTACTGGGCCCACATGGCCTACGTCGACATCGGCCACGACCAGGCTCAGGAGATCTTCAACCAGGCCAAGGACAGCGTCAACTTTGCCAACGTTGACAAGTCTGGCGACGGCTACAAGGTCAAGTCTGCTCGCGCCCCCCGCTACATGGGTGCCAACATCATGCCCCTGACGACGTCCGGCGGCAAGGTCGATGTCAAGATCACATCGGCTGGCGAGTTCACCGCCCACCTCGCCATCAAGGGCTCCAGCTCGGTCCGCTACGTGCAGCTCGCCAATGGTGCCGGCTCCGCTGAGATCGCCAGCGGCGAGGAGGCCAGCTTGGTCGTTGCCAACACCCCCAAGACTCTGATCCTGTACAACGGTTTCCAGCTCGCTAGCAGCGATGCCAACAAGGGCCTGGACTACTCCTTCACTCTGACGGGCGCCACCGTCGCATAAGTTGCGAGAACTAGCCTGGGTGCTGTGTATCATTTCATGTACCATATTTCTCTTCTTTACATACTGTTAGCCACTGGATCAGGGCATGCATATACAGACTTTTAAGATACCACATTTGGTTAAGCCCGCTTCCCGCTATGTGTGACACTTTATGAGCAAACCCCTGACGATCCGAACCGACCGAGAGCACCGTGGCACAGGTCACAATCATGACACAATGGTAGCCCACGACGTGGATTTGACGAAATCCAACTCTTTCAAGGTCAGCGCCGTAACAACAACGGCGGCACCAACAACCAAGGCCATGGGTCGTTGTATTAAGCTCCCAACCATGTTTTTTGGCTTCTCGAACTTGCTGTCCGCGGCATCCGTGGGACCTGGCCTGGATTTTCTGCCTGCTGTGGCGTCGATGTATCCCAGGGACCCCAGCTGAACAAAGCTTAAACGGCATATGTGAATGCAACAAGATGCGATCCCGGCGAGGTAGTCTGCTCGCGTTTCCGGCATTGCCGCGCTGTGGGCTATGATTGGGAGAAGTCTGAGTAATACCATCGAAACTACATTCGCAAGGAGGATCTTTCGGAGTATCGGCGAGTTTGATGCCGTGCGGCCGTGGAAACGCAATAACACGGCAGTATCGTAGAACAACTCCGTTGCCAGGCCGGCGTAGATCAGATAAAGAGGTCTTCTCGGACCTCGGCCAATGAGGAAGAGGCCGAGTGATGAGAGAGAGAGGGCGTGGTGGGCAACATAATCTGCAGAATAGCTGAGAAGTGGCAGCTCAGAGGCCCAGAGGATGGCTCGAGAGGCGAGGCAAACCTTGCCATAGGTGGTGAAGGGGCGGTCGAGCCCAAATATCTCGGTGGCAGAGGACGTGTCATTGTATGCCGTGATACATATGGGTGTCGTCAGTAATGTTAAGAGGAAGCCCAGAGGGAAGACAAAATAAGCAGCCAATTTGTGAGGCTCGTCCGTCTCCAACGTCTTGTAGAAGTCTGGGTTTGCTCGTCTGACTATCTGATTTGCGCACCGGTTCGCGAGTTGATAGGCAACCAGGCCCGTGACGAAAAGTACCCAACCTGGGACGACCATGGTACTCGGGTTGTTTTGGCGTGAGGTATCACAAGGCAGAGGGTGTCGACGATAGCCACGAGTTTCTATATGGCATCAACACAGTGGCTGCGACAGCGAGAGTCTGCGACATAGTGGGCTCATGAGCTTGCTGACTGATTTCCCTCTATGAGATAGAAGCTTCGTGCAGGTCAGCCAACATGCATCTTGCTGCTTTGTCCAGCGATAGCCGACCAACGTTGTTGATAGGAGATGACTGGCATCTCACGTAAGCCTCTATGCGGCTGGTGTGCCTCGCAGATATATTGCAGCATTCACAGTCTGTATGGGATAGTCATAAAGAGGATAGAGACGGTGTGCTACAAGGCGCCAGTTTGAGTCACAATTGGTCAATCTCAGTCCAAAAAGATTGATAACGAGAATGGAGAGCCAGCGGTTGGGAGGTGTTACCCGCTCGAGCTCTTCAACATGTCATATCATCAGGCGAACCGGCTCCATAGCCAGTGCGGAAGCCAGAACTCGAGCTGCAAGCCTCGGGTTCACGGCACTCCCAGGTCTCGGCATTCACATGGGGCGGCCGTCCCATGCGGAGGTGGACCCACGGCGCCGGCGTGCCGCATGTCTGAAGGCAGGAACCTGTTGATCATGTTGAAAGTTTGGGACGCTAGAGCCTATCCATACAGCACCACGAGGGGCTGTCGATCTTGGCCGGCGTGCCATGTTCCCGCGATGAGGCTCGTGTGTAGGAATTGCGGGAGTGGTTCAATCTCGGGGGATTCCTTTGCCAGCTGGACAAGGATGGTGCAGGGATGGCTCTCAAACCACATGCGATGCTTCAGTTTTCAAGTGATTAGGGTTGAAAGAGGAAAGGAAACAAAGAAGCCCCAGGTCTATCGACGTGCATATTGACCGTACCCATACGGATACTCGTACAAACAACAGAAACTGCGCCCCGTAAATGTGAAGAAGTCGCGATGGTGGAAAGAAGTGGTGCCAGGTACGTACTTGATAGGCGCCGTCCGGGGATTTCGGGTGCCGTTGGGAGGTCAGGAGAAAACGGGAAACCTGAGGTTGCAGGTCGGTGAGGTGGGTCATGGTGCTAATTTAATGGAGTCTTGGCGGCTCAAAGCTGTCAGTGTTGAAGCCGCACGTGATTGGACGTTCCGTATGGTCCATGGAGAAGGTACGTACCGTGAGTGGCCGTGTGCTGCACTGTCAGACAGCTACTGTGCAGGTGCCCCCTATTTGAGGCAGGAAATTGAGAGTTCCATCCAAATTCCCGGCGGCCTTGGCACTGCGTAGCGACTGGCTTTGCTACAAGGTTTGGTGGGGCCAGCGGGGATACGTACAGTGCGAATGGGGACTAAGGTTAATTGCGGTCGAGACCTTCCTTCCAGGGCAGCCACGGACAGGTTCTTTCCTTCCTTCTTCAGCGGTCCAGCGCCCCAGGTGTTCATTCCTTCTCGAGTTGCCAATCCCTCCCCTCGGTGCCTTCCCAAATTCCATCGCCAGCTTTCTCTCTGCTCTTTCCTCATCTTAGAGATCTTTTTCACTCACGTGCCGCTCTCACTCTCACTGTCACCCTCCCTCTCACTCTCAATCGCACTCACTTTTGACAAGACTTGTCAAGACACCAAGCCAGCCAATGTGTGGGAAAAAACGATCGCCAGTTTGACTTGTCATCGCCCAAACTCAAGCGATGTGTTGGCAGCCCGGCAACTCACACGGCAACCGCTGGCACTCGCTCCAAATCGTTCATATCCCCCGCGGCGTCCGGCTCTCTACCGTCGTGTGATCTGCCTTGGCCGAACCGATCGCTCCTTGGCGTACATAAACAACACAATGCCCAAGCCTGCCGGTTATGCACTCAAGGCCAAGCTTGAAGAAAGGGATGTGGATGTGGGATGTTGCCCTGGTTTTTGGGCTTATTCTCCTCTTTACTCGCATCCGGTCTTCCATCGCGCGTGCCAGGACCTGTAACTCGTATCACGGTCTCATAATTCGTATTCAACCTGACCTGGTTGCCATCTGACAGCTTGCCTTGCGCACAAGGCGGGTGAGCTGAGCAGAGCTGACAGCCTGGAGCGACCTGAGCTGACATGCCATCCGAGGTGTTGCAGCTGACTAACTTTCATCTCACAGCACGGTACGGTAGAATACTTACCTTTTGGGATGAGACGCAGACACGAGGTCTCGCTTCTTAGTTCATACTGACATACAACTTGCATCTTTACCTGATTGTGCTCGTGGTTCTGCTCTTGATTCCGTTTGTTTGCTTGGCATTCTCCGGCACTCAATCCCTTTCGGCTCTGCCACCTTTCCGTACAACCAAAGCCTTCCCTTACAGTTCGCGTACCTGGCCTGGACCATCCCTCCAACGGCTCTTCCCATGTGTCGGACGGCCGATCGTTGCTCATCCCAAAACCGCGAGTCAACGATCAGCGGCCACTCTAGAGTCTAGCACTCTGTCCGACGCATCACAGAGCACCACCGGGCCTCAGCCTCTCAGTCGCACTCAATATCAATCTCCCTCGCCGGCCCTGAGACGCCATCGCCATCGCCAAGACGCTGCTGAGCCTTAGCTCTGGGCGACCCCTGGATCCATCGTGCCTCTGTCCCCGTTTTGTGCTTTTCGGAGCTTCAGAGGCATCAATCATATCCACATTGAAGGCTCTCTGTGATCCCCTTGCCTAACCCTTCGGGGCGTATGATACCCGTGAGCCGTGAGTCGTAACAATCCCTCCCAAGTTCTAACTCTCCGTAGCCTGGAGGATGACGGGCAGAAAGAGGACTCCCGAGTCCCCACGTATTTGGCGAGGAATGAGTCTTGGCAATGTTGGTTGTCGGGTAGGGATGGCTGGTCCTGTTTGAGAGAGGCTTTTTGGCGTCCTCTTTGGCAGGACTCGTCGTCTTGGGTTGTCCTTGAACCCAAATGGTGTCTGGTCAATCGCAGTTCGTCCCTATCCGTCTGTTCCCAGCCGTCACTGACGGTTGTTCCATTGACATTGAGCGGTAAACCAGGTCATACCCCATTCCCCCAGCCTATCCATCCATCATCCATCCATCTCTCTGGTTTTCTCTCTCCATAGGGGTTCACTCGGTGGGTGTGGTCCGTGTCTGCATTCAACGGCCTGTCTTTCTGGGTCTCTGCTGCATGAGGCGAGGTGAGGTGATCCTTCGTGCTGCTCGCGTTGCCTGCCCTTGCAGATGGCGGAAGAGGCAAACCATGAACCGTGGGACCGTAACCGCCCTGTGAGCCTTGGATAGAATGGATAGTCCCGAGACTGGCGGCATCCCATGAAATCCATCTGGTCTATTTGGTCCAAAGGGGGGGGGGCCCTTGCTCCTGTCGAACCTTGTGAAGGGTGCTCGAGTGCTGCCCGGCCAGGCATCTTCTCAACTTCTCATTTGCTGCACAGCCCCGATGCCCAGAAGGCCAAGACTTTACCAAGAATACCAAGACTTTGGCGGCCACCAAGACTGATTTCTACCGCGTCATCCTGTGCCCTCCTGTGGTCTGTCTTCCGTGTCTGTTGATTCCCATTTTCTGTGTTCCCAAAAAGCCCAGAGTTGCCGAGACGAGAAAAAAAAAAAGTGGCCTTGAAAGCCTGTTTCCCCCCCCTTTTCCTTCCCTTTATCGTGCATCCTGATTCTGAGCTGTGAGAAGACAAAGCTGTGTTGGTTAACCTGCCACCATCCCCAACGCCCACCCGCCCATCGTTTATTCCTCCACCTCAGCTCGAATAAAAGTACACAGCTTACACACCAAATCTACAACCTTCGCTTCATTTCTCACCACAGGATTTTTGACTTTTTCATACCAGCCGAACTCCCATTCAGGGAAATCAATCGTAGTAAATAAAAATCGACACTCGCTTCCGACGACGAATACGACTTTCCGACCGACCGATCTACCGACACCTCACCGCAGCCACAGTTTCTTTTACCGTGCCTTCCACCTTTGGAGCCGCCCATTCATGAACGGTCGCTTCTCATAAATGAAAAACCTTCTTTTTCAAACTTCGACACGGCTTTCATTTTCAATCACAATCGCTCATTCGGTTTAATTTCAACTCACTCGTTCTCACCCGAACCGCTCCGACCGATAAATCGATTCGACCGCTTCCCCCACCCGGTTCTGTGGGATCTTGAATTACACCTCACCAACCTTGATTCCTCATCCAGTAGCGCTCTTGAACTTCGTCTGTAGACCGGCTCTTCGCCATGGTCGCTTCACTCGCTTCTGCCGCTTCGGCGGCACTCTTGCTCGTCGGCAGCCTTCCCGCCGTCAACGCGCAGTACACCATCGACACAACTGGTAAGCAAACCAAGCACCTCTCACCTCACGATCATCCTCGCGCCCCATGACGAAATACGATGGCCCACATCTCACCCAGCAACATTCTCCCTGCTAACACCGCTTCTTCCCCCATGATTCAGACAACGTAAAAAAGTCAGCAAAAATGCTTGCATACGACCTCATCAAACAGTACAAGGGCAACCAGACCGGCGAGATCCCCGGTATTCTACCCGGCCCGCCAACCGAGCACAAGGGCGACTACTACTGGTGGGAAGGAGGCGCCATGATGGGCACTTACATCGACTACTGGAAGCTGACAGGTGACTCGGCCTACAACGACCTCGTCATGGAGGGTATGCTTCACCAGACCGGCCCCAATGCCGACTACATGCCGCCAAACCACACCGCATCGCTGGGTAACGACGACCAGGGCTTTTGGGGTATGTCCGCCATGTTGGCCGCAGAGAACAAGTTCCCGAACCCACCCGAAGAGAAGCCTCAGTGGCTGGCACTGGCGCAGGCCGTGTGGACGACGCAGGCGAGCCCAGATCGTCACGACGATACTTGCGGTGGAGGTTTGAGATGGCAGGTGCCCTTTTCCAATGCTGGATATAACTACAAGAACAGTATGCGATCCCCCACCCGATCGGGACCAGAAATCATGGAGAGGAGGTCTCGAGACGTCAAAGTAGCTAACACGTCACAGCCATCGCAAACGGATGCTTCTTCAACATTGGCGCCCGCCTTGCCAGATACACCAACAACGACACGTACGCGCAGCACGCCGAGAAGACCTGGGACTGGCTCTGGGCCGTCAACTACATTGACCACGAGTCCTGGAACGTTTACGACGGCGGCCACGTCGAGCACAACTGCACCGACGTCAACAAGCAGCAGTTCTCCTACAACGCGGCTATTCTCACGCAGGGCGCCGCTTTCATGTACAACTACGTAAGTCTCGCACCTCATAAAAAATGCTTAAGTATTCCGGCCATGACCTCATACTGACCGTGACCAGACCAACGGTTCCGACGTCTGGAAAGGCCGCATCGAAAAGATGACAGAATCCCTCTTTCTCAACTTCTTCCCCAATAACACCGCCTACGAGCTGGCCTGCGAGGGCCGCAAGGGCCAGTGCACCGCCGACATGTTGTCCTTCAAGGGCTACGTCCACCGCTGGATGTCCGTCGTCACGCAGGTCGCCCCCTTCATGAAGGACAAGATCCTTCCCGTCCTCAAGGAGTCGACGCAACACGCCGTCAACCAGTGCACGGGCGGCGCCGAGGGCCGTACCTGCGGCTTCTACTGGAACGAGCAAGTCTATGTCGACCCGGCCGTCGACAAGACCTCTGGTGCTGGCGAGGTCATGAACGTCTTGGCTGCTGTGTCGAGTCTGCTTATTGAGGATGCTGCGCCGCCTGTGACGAATATGACGGGTGGTATTTCGGCGGGTGATCCTGACGCTGGAAGCAAGAGTAAGGACAACATTGAGCCGGAGCCCATCACGACGGCGGACAAGGCTGGCGCGGGTATCCTGACGTTCATCGTCCTCGCTGGCGGTCTGGGAACATGGGGATGGATGAGTCTGGGTGACTGAGAGGGTGGGGGTATGTGAGAGAGCCTGAAGAAAGGAGGCGTGAGATACCTAAAGTAATGGGTTGTTTGATTTGTTGTACGGATTACATATCAGGATCGCATGGCATGGCGTTCTGGGTAAACACTGCAGGAGGGGAACTTGACTAGCTACCACTGCCACGAATTACTTTTCTTACTTCAACCACTTTCAAGTGTACTACCTTGTGACCTGCCTTGACGCCATCACAAAGCTTGACAAATCTTTGCGAATCACGAATACTTCCACGTCACATGCTCGCTCGAGAGAATTGTGACGATGTTCAAGCCTCAGCTATCCGCGTGATGGAACTACATAGAGTACCAGCCTCAGCTGTCAAGAAACCTAGACGCTGCATCTCAAAGTCCGCTCTCGGTTCGACTCGCTGTGTGGCGCACGCCGTCTGATGTTGAGTGGCTGCTGCAAGGGTGCTGCCTGCGCAGAGACAAAGTCTATCTGTGGCTAATATTGGAAATGGTGGGGTGGTTGCAGAATGTGTGAAAAGTCACTCTCGCTATCAGTTCCAAATTGATTCGGAGCATCATGGTCCGTTCTCTTAGTTCAGTTGATGGAAGCAATGAACCACGAATCAGATACTGATTGACTTGTCACAGAGGAATAGTATTCCGGCTCTTATTAAGTCGTTCCGAGGGGACGGGTCATTTTAAGGCTACGCAAGTGTGCATCCTAGGTTTTAAGCTTATCTGGGGGTTCCCCATGGACGTGCCGAATATCCGCCCTCACGAAAGTCGCTCCCCATGGGCTTCAGTGTCTGGCGTCGTCGAGCGTGAGTATTCAAGCATTTATCCACCTAAACTCGGAAGTTAACAAGCTCAAGAAAAGAAAGCATTTTAGGACTTTTCAGGGCCAGAGTTGAAGTTGAAGAAGTTGAAGAGTTGAGCTGGGCTTAGAGTAGCTCGTCTTGCTGAGTCGCTCTTCTAATTCTCTAGGCTTTCAAGGAATCATTCCGTAGACTAACCAGTGTAGTGGGCAAGGTAAATACGCAGAAGCCGTGTTTTTATATCCGAGAATCGCAGACATCTCAGAGCCAAAGCGCTACCAAAGGCGTAAATCTGAGGCTCTGCCAGATAGGGGCATTGGTTGGCTAGATCCAGACCCGAGAATAGGCGCCCACTAGCCACGGGTGTCACTAGCGATGAATTAAACATGTATCTGGAATCACACGAAATCGAAGGAGAAAATACTGTTGTTTGCGAATGTCACATAAGGCGATATTCAAGATCTCTTAGGCGCCTGATAGTAGGCAGCACGTCACAGGCCTTTCCCTCTCGTTTCCTTCCAATGCTCTCGGAAATTAACACAAATCTTGACTACAACGTAGGGATGTGGGAATTGAGAGTTGTGAAGCGGCTGGCCCTTCGGCATGTAGTGTTGCCTTCGAAGATTCAGAGCCAATCGCACCAGCCCACCGACAAACCGATAAGCTTATTTCGACTATCTAATTCTTATGTACAATGTCATCGCGCCTCGGTAACGCCAGAGGAAGCAAACTGACAAACAGAAAACGGCTGCGCTGTGTGATCGTTTTTCGAGCTTCGTGAGGCCCATCGTGATGCGGTGTTGGTTGTGCTAAATCTCATTCGGTGGGGACAGGAGGCCAAGGAAATGGCTACTTGGACTGGCATCTTTCAACGACAACCAAAACTGCAGTTGAATGCTTGCTTGTGCGGGAGACAGACAAAACTTGCTAACAAGACGGAAATTGAATGAATTGACTACGACAGGAAACACTACAGAGCAAGTATATAATGAGATCGTGTTTTGATTGGGCGAGAATTCCAGCTTGCAATCCGTTGATAGATTGTCATCCAAATTCAAGCGTGATTGGGCAGAATTTGAAGGTTCGGGGCTGCAGCAGTTTGCGACGATCGTCACGTCAAAGCTAGCAGCTCCCACCGGCAACCCAGATTAGATGCAATCAGGGCTTTTGATCGCCCGAGTCGTGGATAGACAGATACCCACGCGCATTTAAGGCGGCTCTCAGGTTGAACATGCTTAGTTGGTGAACCCTCCCCGAAACAGCCGCTGAGAGTTGTGCCGATTTGCCGCTTAGCCAATCAAGAGTTGTCAGCATGGCTAACCCCGGTAAATGGGCATCGTATACTCGCTACGAAAACCCGCCGTAACCCAGTCGCAACCCCCTTCATTTGAACTCGGCGAGTTTTGCCGCTCAGAGTCAATCATCGAAACGAACAGCTCTGGATCCTAGATTACGGAGCACTCCCTATGTACGGAGTCAACCGCAGCCAACACTACTATAAGATGGATGTAACCTAGCGTCTTGGCTTTTTCTTGTCTCCTCGCACTCTGCAGCTGTGTACTGACCTATCATTTTGATTCATTCACTCTTTTCTCTCAAACAGCCAAGATGCGTTCATTCTCTTCCATTGCTGTTCTCCCCCTTGCTGCGCGAATCGTCGCTGCCGGCCAGTACGATGCGTGGAAATTCGGCAACATGTTCACCCTAGGCTCTGACAGCAGTGTCATCACCAAGGCCACTTACACTCTCGTTCCCCCGTCCATTCCCTGCGGCACCGTCATCAGCAACAAGAATGACCAGCCGTGGATGTCAATCTGGGTTGGCATCTCCCAGTCCGTCAGCGACCAGGGCAGCGATCTCTTCCAGCCTCTTTTGAACTGGGCCCCCGATAACTCTGCTGCGTGAGACACATTCGGCTCCAGGTTTTGGTTAACTTTTATCATTGGCTAACGAGACCCTTCACAGCGGCTGCCCTGCCTCCAACACCGAGTGGTGCGTTGCTGCCAGCACTTTCACCGGTTGTAAGTTTAAAACCACCAAAGCCGCTGATCAGGAAGTGTATACTAACAAGTCGCAGCCACCCAGGTTGCCCAGCCATACATCGCCATTCCCTCCAAGTCCGACGTCGACTTTGAGCGTGAGCTTGAGATACCTGTCTCTTGACTGTATTAGTACCGAGAACTGACTGTGTCTTAGTCGTCTACGATGCCTCCAAGGGTGTGACCCAGAAGGTTTGGATCAACGGTGCCATGGTCTCGCAGCAGACCGACGGTAAGTACTTCCTTCACCTCCTCCAACCAACGAGACAATACTGATGCAGGAGCCCAGTGGACGGCAACGGCAAGGCCCCTACCTACATCTACTCCAGCAACGAGTGTTACCAGGGCGCCTGCGGAACCCTCCCTGCCTACAGTAAGTTGTCTGAGCCTGCTATCTTGGAATGGGATGTGTTTTCATGCGCTAACTTTACTCTCTCAGGCTGGAGCAACCTCACCGTCGTCCTTGCTAAGGCCGACAAGACCTTTGGTGATTCTCTTCAACTTACCGGCGCTACCTCGACTGGCGTTAAGACGACCGACGACGGCAAGACTTGGCACGTTGACGCCATCAAGATCAACCAGGACTTCTTCTACACTGACGGCTCGAACAAGCAGTGCTAAGTTGCCCGTAGATACACCAAAGAGGGGAATCTAGTTAGAATTTCTTCACTTTAGGGCCCAGCAGTCACCATTCGATTTTCTCCAAGCCAATTTCATCATTGACCTTGCTTGATGTATTCAAAAACCCATAATTTCAATCAGACGTACCCATTTGAGATAATTCCGACCTAAATAGCTTAGCACGAGCCCATGTCATTGTCGATAGGTCTGTCCTCTTCATTGAGCAAGACGTTTTCAGGACTCGAATCGTTGTGGGCATATCCAAGACGATGCATTTATTTGGCTCTATCATATACACTTTCTAGTAACGAGGCTGTGTGGACAAGAGGCTGACAGTAAACTTCCACCCGTGTTGAAACAATCATTATATAGCGTTTTAACAAAATCCCGACAATGAGCTCGTTCTTCTACAAGCACTCCTTGAACTGCACCAGGTTCGGGGGAGGATATTGTCGGATGCCTTAATATACTCCGATCTCTTCAAGAAAGTCGTCAGCAATGACTTTGGTACCTGTTACGTGCTACCCTGGGTGTAGACAGGGACGTTGAGTCGATTTAGCCAAACATCATCAACATGAGAGAAATTTGAAGCATTGACCGTAGCCGTGTCAGGTACCAACAGAGGGTAGTTTCCGCTGTCTGGGCACAACGAAGGTGGCCGAATGCTTGTTCACGGCTGACTTGTTTGTTGGGGGATTTCGATGCTCCCAACCCAAGCTGCGTGTTATGTATTCTAGTAGCTATGAGCGTCATGTACTGGGATGGGCCTGACTGTAAGGTTTCGGAAACATTGTATAGTCCTTGTTACATCAAACGCATCTCTAGGGTCTCATATAGATCTCCCGTGTCCCTGGGTGACCATGAGCATATTCCCAACGGTGTCCGGATTCAGCGAATTCTCTGCCTCTTTCAGAGCTTGAGCCACAGCAACACAGCCCCGCTCGACGACGTCTGCACCATATGCTTCCATGGTGCATTTGCGGCTGGTACCCTCACGAACGTCTCTCAACTTTGACAGTGCATTTATGTAGTTTTGCACATCAATGATCGCATGCTGAAGTCCCTGGCCTCGGACTAGGGGTGGTGTTAGTTCCAAAGGACTATCCTCTCAGTAATCGCACGCTCAATTCTGACTTACACGGCAACATGGGATGAGCGGCGTCTCCTGCCAAAGTCACTCTACCATCGTGCGTCTCCCATGGACTGGGAAGCCAGTACTTCATCTCGTCAAGATAGCAGGAGCTTCCTGCAGGCGTCCATTCCAGAGCAGACCGGAACGGCTCGCAGATGCCTGATAGATCCTTTTTTGCATAGTCGATGGCTTCTTGGCCATTCAGGCTAACGGAGTGACCGCGCCATACTTTGACCCAGAAGGTCTCCCAACTGGCAACATCGTTCGGATCTTCCGCGGACATGACTATTATCTTAGCTTAGATGCGTACGAAAACCTGTCAAATATCCAAATACTTACCACCACAGCCAGCTAGGTTTGCCGTTCCAAGCATGAGCGCGCACACAGAGTGTGCCTTCACCACGGCATTGACCTTATCTGCGTTCCCGTACTTGCAGACACAGTTCGCGATGGAGTATCCTGATGGCACTGGCCTGGCCTTCTCAACCCCCATAAGCAATTCTCGGACTTTGGAGGAGACGCCGTCTGTTCCCAAGACATAATCGGCTTCATATTTCTCTCCATCTCGGAAGACGAGATCCATTGAGGTACTTCTGGACACCATCTGATCGAGGTACTTGCCCCAGCGAACATCGAGTCCTTCAGCGAGGACTTTGCGGAGGCGTCGTCTGCTGATCCGCCGAGCGCCGGGAGTCGAATTTTGGAACATGACTTCGCCGGTAGCGCCGTTGTATCCAATAACGCTCTCATCCCAATCGTTGAACTCTAGGTGCGGATTGCAAATACCTTGAGGGAAGTTCTTCACAATCTGCTCAGGTAACAGCTCTATGAGTGTGCTCATGCCCCAGCCGATGAGAATCGACCAGTCGCGCGGCCGAGCGGCGATGCTTTCATCACGCTCAAATACGACCACGTTGAAGCCACTCTGATATATCGCGTCAACGTCTGACACAGATCGGTGCAATAATACATGCTCACACACCTTTTTCAGGCCCTGGGCGGCGATCAAGCCCGTTAACCCCGCGCCTATGATTGCGACCTTGGGCCCATCATCCCGGTGCTGGTCAGAGTTGCCGTTCATGTCCTGGATTGCCATTGCGGGCGCGATCAACATGCAATCAAAGGACTAGCCTAGCCGTACCGACTCCAATACTAAGGCAAGATGTCAAGAGCATGAGAAGAAGTTTTAACAGTTTCATTACCTTCGATTCTACGACGGACTTCCGTACAGAAAGTTCGGCACGTGATTTTGCTCCAGTTGCACAACTTAAGACGATCGCATTTTCGGACGAATATCACATACTCCAGGCGAGATGGTGACGTAGGACAGTAGCTTTGTTACCCCCGTCACAATGCCAGAGAAGGCCCATGAAGGATTGTTCCCAGGCTTCGTCGGCACTACTAACCGATAACAGGTTGCAAACACCGGGTCTAGCACCACCATGGCAATTTGGCGAGGGGACCAGGCCTTGATCCGCATCAGCAAGCAGCGGTCTAGAGTGAAGTTTGTCAGCCATTGTCGGGTGTTTCGTGGAGCGGAAGGGATTCTCATGCTTGCGCTTAATCAGCCGTGATGGCCATGCGCCGGTGCTGACGATGAACACATTGACTTGAACACTAAGAAAGAAACGTATTATATGGAGTTGTGCTTCGGTTGAGCTATAATGTACAGGCTTGAAAGGCGTAATGTGTGGTGTAAAGTATAAATGGGGTTGCCCGTAGACGCTTGTCGTGGTCTCTTCCTGGCCGAAGTCCTCACCTGCCCAGTCCAGCCCACCGGTTTCGGCGAGCGAACTGTGACAAACTACTGGTTGAAGAGCGGTAGTCTGGCAATATCTCTCTGGTCACTTCTGAACTTTTCGACAGGGGACTCTTTCCAGGTGCGCAGAATCTCCTTCAACTTGTTGATATCATTTCTGACCTTGGGATAGTCAGCCTGCTTTATGAGGTCCCTGGCCGTTTCGACTCGCAAGTAATCTGCCAGCGTGGGACTTTCGACGTTGACGTTTGAGAGATCGCCCAGAATGGTAGCAATGTAAACAAGACGTGGTGTCCAGACGGAATAGTTACGTGCCAGCTGGTGCTTCAGATGTATCCAGTTGTTGTGGTACATGGCATGTCCATTTGCCAACTCGTCAATCAATGCCGAGATCTCTTTGGCAAACAAAGCATCCATGTCAGCACCTCCGGGAGGGACAGCCAGCATTGCCACTCTTAGGCGGAATGGGTTTGGTAGAGCCTTGGGCTCTCGCATCGGGTCATGCTGCCATGAAGGAGTGCGTAACTCCTCGACTCTCGCGATGACCGATCGTAGCACCGGCTGCGTTGTCAATTGCCAGCTCTTCAGCGTCTCTGGATTCTTCTCCCTCATCATCGCCTCAGACTTGTGCTCGAGAAGCGCCTCAACGTGAGAAGGGTCTCCATGGCTGATAAGCCCGTCTGCAAAATCTTCTGCGAAACGTTGGAGCATGGCAACGGTGATGCGGTCTTTCGGGTTGGCGACTTCTTTGCTCATATGTGGTAGATGCATCTGCTCCAGGCAGTAGGTCCAATCGCTAACAACCATCGTTCCCTCATTTCCGCTAAAGAGCTGCAACCAGTGTCTTCCTGCATTCGAGTTGGCTAGGGTGGCATTGCTTTCGATCTTCTTCGTGACGGCTGCCATGCCGGGAGAGGGTCGAACGTTGGCAAGAACGTACCGGCTTAGCATCCCAAGCATGGGTCGCGAGAAGTACACCGTAGTTCTCTGGAAGATCTTGAGCATGGCGGGGTCGACTGGCGAGAGGGGGAGGCTCTCCCCAGAAGGCAACGAGAAGTCATTCTTCTTGAGAAATAACTCTAACCACCGTCTGTTGTTCTCTGCGGAACGCAATATCAATCGATCCGTGATACCGACCAGCTTTGCTTTGGCTACAGGGTCGTTGCAGAGCTTCATCTCCAAATTGTAGAACAGAGACCGTATAGGAGCTGCAGATCGATCCTTCACATTGGCCACTTCCGATAGAGTATCATCAGCTTCTGCTTGCGTCCAATCATCCTCTGTCATTGGATGAAGCTCATCAAGAGATGCTGCAAGTGGCACGGCGAGGTCCTCAATAACACTCAGAATCCGGTTCTTCACATCGGGCGAAGCTGTCTCAGCCTCTAGGGTATCGAACATGGTCTGAATGATGGCCAATCGGATGTCGATGTGCTGGGCTTTGGACAAAAGACCGGAAAGGATATCAACAGCTGATGTGACGTCCAGGAACGGCGCATTGCTCAGAAGCTTTGCCAGCATCTTGACCGTCGTAACTTTGACCACGGGTGGGGACCGCGCAGCTAGCTCACCGCCCTCCTTCTTAGCCTTTTCGTATCTGAACTGCTGCTCCTCGAGCTTCTCCTGTATGCCAATCGATATCATACAAAGAAGCTTTTTCGCCTGCTTTGGAGGGATGGCGTTGAAGAATCCTTTGGTGAGAAGTTCCCGATGCCATGCGCTATCGCTTGGTCTGTTGAGAACAATGTCCCTGATGAAGGGGAAAGCCAGAGATGGCTGGTCGCTGCCCGCTAGCACTTTGACAAGCTTCATGGCCACTTGAAAACGAGCATGCGTTAGGGATTCTGAGTCCTCGTTGGCAGCCACGTTCTGGAGGATCGAGTTCACAGCCGGTACAAGCAATGCTGGCGGGCCTGACTTAATGATATGCTCTATCTGGGCCTGGTTGTCATGGAAAAAGGCTTCGTCGATGGTTTCAAGAAAGTCCTCGTCTAGGTAGAGCGCTGGGTATCGGAAATCGGCCTCCGATGGAAATGGGTGCTTCAAAACGGAGCTGTCGGAGCCATGGATGGTGTTGAGAGAGAGAAGAAGAGACGCGAAGTAAGCATCCACGACTTTACCAGAAAGGGGCTGTGAGAATTGGCTCGCGTCCCAGAAGTTGGGTATCTCCTTTGGTGGAATTTGCACTGTATCTGACCAACTGAGCGCCGCCCACACCGCATCACGACCCAGGCCAAAGGCATTGCAGCTCATCATCACGTCTAGGATCGTGACGGGAATCTTTTTGCTACCGAGCTCTTCAAATTTTGTGTGACAAGAATCCGGATTCCACTCTGTTGGCGTTTCTGGATTTCCGACTTCAGGAATTGAGATCTCGACTCGTCGCGGGAACTCTGCTTTGATGTCTGCAGGTAATGGGACATCCGCGCAGTTGAATTGCTGTTCCCAAAATCGTAGGGCTTCAGCTTTCGTCATTCTCACTCCACTGAGGCTGTCGACTGCATGGCGCCAGGCTTTACGAGTGCGCTCTTCTTGCTGACAGCTTTCTTCCCCTCCATCGATGTACGCTTTCAGTGCAAAGCTGTATTCGTCCACAAAACGACCTATCGCCTGCTGAGATTCTTTATCCCTCAGAGGTTCTTTAAGCAAGACCTCGGGAGCTCCGAAGACAACCTTCTCGATCCGCTCTCGAATGTAAGGCATGGCATCAATATTCTTCAGGCCGAAGAATCCGGTAGGCAAAAGAGATTGCAGCGGCAATCCCTTTGGCCATGGCTCGCCCAGCGTGAGAACCGATGGGAAACGTTGAGGACGGTGTTTCTGCCACAACTCATCGCGTGCCTTGGCGAGTCCGTCCGCGAACTTGAAGGTGTGGGATCGCTTTTCACGGGCTCCGAGACAGTCTCTGGGGAAGCCCAGCCCACGTGATCCGAGCGAGTTGAGCTCTTGATGGCTGGGACGAAGCAAGAAAGTCTCTAATTCAACCAAGAAGTCCACAGTTGGCTGCCACACGATCTCGGAGATTTCGGTATCGGTCAGCTTTCGAGCATCTTGGAACTCATTGACCAGCTGGAAACGTCTTTCAATCACTGCTGCAGGCAATTTTATGACGGTTTGCCAGTCATAAGCCTGGAAGCTGGGTTCTCGGGTGGCCATCGATGCGGTTTCCAGCAGCTGCATCATAATCTTGTTCGCAGACCGAACGGATTTGGCAGCATCGAAATCTGGCTGGCCGGCAAAAGAAGCTATCTCAATACCGCTGAGTAAGTCTAAGCCCTCGGCAGTCTTCATGGACCGCTCGTCGTAAAGATCCCTCACTGTAAACACGTCTTTGTTGAAGCGTCTCGCCCAAAGCAGGTTCTCTGCGTAGAGATCCAACGAGCCCGCCGCAATGGAGAGGTCGAGTACTGACTGAGCCCACAAGGCTCGACTTTCCCAATCACGGCTTGAGGATGCTTCTTTTCTGCGCCTCTCCAGATCTGCGTCTACTTTGCTGTCGTAGCTTGTGTTGAGGGGGCTCGAAGCTGGCGAACTTCGCAAAAGAAAGACTTCGAGTGCGAACGCGTCACCTTGGACTGAATCATAGTCTTGCTCATGCTCAAAGATGGAACTTCCTCTGGGGTATGAATACTCCAGGAAACGTCCGTCAGGGAAAGCAGCCATCAAGCGCTGGACTAAGCGGAGAGAAGCAAGCCGGTCATCACGCCCAAGCGTTGTCACGAAAAATCTCGCTGGCCACGGTCCCTTGATCTTCTCGAGAGAGATGTCTTCGTTGCCTATAGCCTCGTCGACATCGAATTTGAAGGCAGGTAGATGCCGGAGCATGAGCCGAAATAATCGGTAGGATACGGCCGGGTTGACAGCACGTAGATGCGGAACGATTTGTTTTGCTGATTGCCACCTTGTCTCAGGCGTGAGTTTCAAAAGCTCGACCAAGTGCTGCTCAACGCGCGGTCGCGTCGAACGGGTATGCTCCCAGAATTTGATGACATAGAACATGACACCGACAAGGCTATCGTCCAACATCCTTTGGAGGTCTGGATGCCTGTTGATGAGGCGGACGAGAAGCTCAAGAATCTCGAATGGAAGATGCTGCTGAGCGGCTGTTCTGCGTCGTCGCAACCGTTTCACAATGGGCAAAGCAATCTGATTGATGAATACGTCAGGCGTAATGGGGAGCTCAGCCCCGGCGTCGAGAAATTTGAGGAGCATCTCCTTGGCGAAGGCAAAGTTATTGTTGATAAGCTGCGTGCACGTGTCGACATCGAATTCGGCAGTAGGAGATTCTCCTTTCGACAAGATGGAGTCCAGGAATTTGGCCTCATAGAATGTTGGGTGGGTGCGAAGCAAGTTAGAACGCTGCCTCGTTGTCCATTTGGGCGATGTCCCTTCATGCTCAGCTACTCGATCGGTTGTGCAGGCCGGCAGGATTCTCCTGTAATGGGCTAACAGCGGCCTCGCATCTGGGTTTTCTTTGGGAACTGGGGTTCCGGCGCCGAGGATGGCGATCAACTCTGTCAATTTCGCTCGTCGCTGCGATCGTCCGTGGGGAAGGGAAGCTGTCCTGGCGAGGCCATTGCATAGCATCTTGACCTCCTTGACGCTGAGGTTACTCATGATTGTTGCGACACCTTGAGCACCGCCTGCCGCATTCCATACGGGAATCATCGTGTCCTCTGATCGCATGGCCTTGAGAAATGCCCTCATAGCCGCACGTCTTCCGGACGTACTCCCTGATTGATTGAGCGCTGCCACGATCGATTTTGCATCGTCAGATATAGGGATCCAGATTGAGAAGATGCTGTGCGGGATGGAACCTCGGACGACCGCTTCATGGAGATTGTGTGTGACGGATGTCGGATCGGCAGCGTTGGCTCGAATACCCTTGAGGTATTTGGCAACCTCCTTCGGCGTGCCATTGCGGAGGATCGTATGTTTGATGGACGTTGAGTCTGCCATCATTTTTGGTATATGATGGAGTCGAGCTATTGTTGCTGGTGCAGTATGCGAGTGACAAACGGTAGTGGCAATCTTTAAGAGCCGATGAGATGAGCGCTTGGCAGCAAGCCAAGGTGCCATGGCGGCGGGGTTGAGGGGGAAACAGAGCTTAAATCATCTGGGAATTTCAGTCTTAGAAAGATTTTCTTCGAGTATGGATCTACCTGAACTAAAGTACCGCACTTAAGCATGTACTCATCTTCGTGTTGGTTAGAGTCAAGTGAGATTGAGGCCGAATTTGGCCTCACAGCCGAGGCCGCTTTGCCGCAGACTCGATGAGCCATATCAGTATGGCAAGGCATCAAGCAGTGGTTGGTCCCCTGAGCTACTCCCGATGCGTGCTGATGGGACGATGGGACATGTTGGTGACCGTGATTCTAGGGACTTTGGCCTTGATTGGGCTGGCCCCGGTTGTTTGTGGAGGCGTAACTGTGGCATTGCTTCTGCCTAGGAACTCACTTACAATTGCAACAGGATTCGAAGGGTAGGTATCAATATCAAGAGGTTGATGATTGACAATAGATGGATGGTTCAAGAGCACTTATAGTGTACGTAGGTAACAAGAGCCAAGTGTGGCCAAGCCAAGAATAAGTCAATGTCCTTGGCGTCAGCAGCAGCAGCAGCAGCAGCAGCAGCAGCAGCGACAGCTCCTCATAGAACGCACACAACACCAGCCGCCACTGAACCTTTGACATTATGTAATCTCTCTTAACTTGCCAAGAGAGATGAAGGAATGACTAAGCTCCTTCAAGTCGGCAGACGGGTCCGTAGCTGCGTGCTGATTCGTGCCCTCATTCAACTTTCCCCAATGATTCCGGCTTCACGCGAGTCACAGGACGAGCTTCCCTCCCTCCCTGATGGCTGGTGCTTGGCGGGGGACCTTTCAATTAAGTAGACTTCTCGTCAGTGAGTCGCAAGTCCCAATGTTTTGGCACTTCCATCTTCAGCAGAGCTGTCTGCTCTAGGGGTAGCGTGTTTGTATCGTCAAAAAGTCAACAGACCAGGCCGCTTTGATATTGGATCTCATCTCGACCCCAGCCCGAAAAGTCAATACGTCGAGTAATAACGCGTGTTCCTCTGATCCAAAACTTTGCCGCTTGCTATCCGTACAGAGCACTTTAGCTCTTCACCGAGACCGCCAGAGTGCACCCGGGCTTCTCTCACCTTCCCCTCACCTGGATGGAGGATCCTCAATCGCTACGTCCAAAGCAGGCCGCCTGTCTGGTCTGCCGCCGAAGCAAGATCAAGTGCGACTATTCTCCGCATGAGAACAAATGCAAGAGGTGCATTCAGCTCGATTCTGAGTGCATACGGCCTACGTTCCACGCCGGAAGACAGAAGGGAATCAAGAAGTAAGGGCCCCCAAGCTTCCCCCCCGTCTAATGGTGTTGACACCAAACGGCCCCCATGACCGAGACAACCCCTTCGAGTCGCACCACAACTCCCCCACCATTCTCTGATGTAGTATTGATCATTGGCCGGGCGTGTAATAGCAAGCGAAAGGGCCTAGATAAAGCTCTATATCAGATTGAGCAGGCCATCAAAAGAGCCAGAACCGGTGAACACAACTCCGAAGATGACAAGGCCATCGGCAGTCTCCAGGCGCTCCTGGAGGGCTCTCGAAATGCTCGGTCAACTACCGCCTCCTCTCACTTAAGGCGGGGTTCATCGCATTTCAACAGCCCCGACCAACCCGACCTCTCATCTGACGATGATGATGACCTGGACAACACCCCAGACAGCAACACTTATATGAGTTTGCATCATCACAACGAGGAGAGCCTGGCAATCGACGATGCCGAAAACCCGCTTCAACTTCTGGCGCGCGCCTCGAACCTGCAGCTTTCGCCCAAGCCCATCAGTGGCCTGTCGCCAAAGCAGCCAGGTCCCCGCGCCGGTCGCAAGAAGCAGGTCGAACAACCCGATGAGGACTTGGAGATTCAGTCCTTCTTCACCTCTGTTCGCGTCAACTTCGATGTCGGCGATGACATAGATCCCATCATTATGGGTCTTGTGACTGAAGAAGAGGCAGAGTCACTATTTGCTTTGTAAGTGACACACGCCCGCCGCCGATGAGGGCTTCGTCAAACTCACCATTTAGCTTCCATGGCAAACTTGCCCACACCCGATGGGGGCTTGATCCCAAGATCTACACTCCATCCTTTACGCGCTCGCGATCTGCCTTCTTGTGCACCTCCATCATGGCCGCATCGGCCCTGTTCCTTCCATCCGCTGGTGCCTTGTCCAAGAGACTGTCAAACCATTGCAAGACCCTCGCACATAGAGTCATCGCGAACCGACACAAGTCCGTTGAGATTGTTCTTGCATTCATGGTCAACGTTCCATGGATGTTTCCTGGCCAGCATAGCACTGATGATGAGACTTGCTGGTATGTCAATATGGCTGCCACCATTGCCATTGATCTGTCCTTGAATAAGCTCCTCATCCCAATGGAAGTCGTCGGTTCCGGTTCGAACATGGCCCTGTCCCGTGGAGATTGTCTTGATCCTCGGACAGCGCTGGCCATGGACGGCTTCAGCCACATTGAACATACCTCTGATCTTGGACAACGCCTTCTTCGTCGCCGTGAACGCTGCTGGATCGCACTCTTTGTTCTCGAAAGAGGCATGTCTCTCGCTCGCGGCCGACCCTATACCGTACCCATCACCCGGGTCATTAAAGACTGCGACCAATGGCATCGGTCCAGCATTGCTGACCCCATGGACGGCCATCTAGTCTCGATGGCCGTCCTTCGCCGAGACCTCGACGGACTACTCAACACGGTTCGCGCACTCTGCGACGGGTCGCAGGGAATATCTACAGACGGCGGGCTCATCGCCCAATCCATCCAGAGTGCTATTGAAAGATTCTTTGATCAATGGCTGACCGAATGGGGCTATGCCATTGGCACAGGCCCCCAGCGCCGACTACCTCCGTACGTTGAGATTCTCGTCACCCACACCAGGCTCTCGACGTACGGAGGCGTCATCAATCATCCGACCGCCCCGATGGAAGTCCGGCAGTTCTTCCGTACGGCCGGGCTATCGTCTGCTGTGACGGTCATGCGAGCAGCGATCCAAGGAGAGTCGCAGCTCCAGTCGATCCCGAACAACACGACAATCATGGTCTCGTTTGCAGCATGTTTTGCCCTGACTCTGAGCGCCTACGCCACGGGCAGCTCGAACTTGGCACCTAGCATTCGGAACCTCATTGAAGAAACAGCAGATGTCTTGGAACGTATTGGCTCTGCTACAAAGCACAGAAATGGCTTGTCTACACTATACGGAAAATATCTAAAACGTATCGTCAAAAAGGCGGCCACAGCCATGGATGGCCAGCCTCAGACGAGCCTGCATCCCGATCCAACTATCCCTCGCAGCGGTCAGCTTGGAACGCCCTCGTCGGCTGTTGCTGCCTCGCCTCCCGTCAACATGGGGCCACCAGTCTCGCAGCCACCCTACATGGAGTCGCAGCTATGGCCTGGGACTCTGCAGTTCTCTGCCATGTCCGATGACCAGATTGCCGAGGTTCTAAATCAGCCAGGCAACGAGTTTGATCCCTCATTCGCAGGCCTGTCCTGGGACGACATGAACAACTTTGACTGGCTTAGCTGGCCTAATTTGACAGAATTTGGGTTTTAGAGGAGTGGAACACCTTTCGGTTTACCATGTCGCGCACATTATGCCTTCATGGTTTCGACCGGGGCGGCGAACTGCCATTGCGTCAGTTTCCGCAGCTGTTCCATGAACACGAAAGTCAGGACAGTATTCGGCCTTCAGTACACAATCATTAGCAACATTATCGACATTTCTTTTCATCGTGGATGTGACTTACGTCAATCTCAACCACGCCGGGGTCCATCCCTTCATCAAGAAAATTGCACCTTCTTCCCTCAGACCCGTCTGCACAATACGAAGCAAAGACTAGGTTCGATTAGTCGGTTTCTCTGCAAGGACCGGGACTGGGCCTGTCTACTCACGTTTGCCCCTGGGCCGCTCGCAGCAGCACTTTGAATTCTGCTCTTCAGGACATCAGCTGGCGCGCAAATCGTTGTCGCCGCAGTCCCAGCAAAGAGGGATGCCACGGCATGTGTTTTGATATCATCCTTCATTTCAGTCTTTTGCAGAAGGATGCGTTTTGCTGTTGAGTATCTGTTTCGTGCTTTCGTGTCAGTTTTGCTTGTTTTATTTAGTCCCTTCACCCAGGGACGTCCACTCATTTGGCACTCACGTGGCGATTTGTCCCACATCTATCATCCGGCATCAGCTTCAATAAAATCCTACAGTCGTTTCCGAGACTTTCGCTTGACTTACTCATGAGTATACTGCGCACCACATTGGCAGATATGCCTCGCGTGAATGCTCCCACACCCTCTTCGCGACCTATCCTGTATAGCCCTTCGACAGCATTAGAGTAAGCGAATCGTTCGCCGACATTCTTGGCTCCATCGGCGCACATGCGGACGAGGACAACCTAACACCCGTGAGAGTCTGCGCTGAACAGCAGAGCGATGCTAGCCATACCTCAGCAGGATTTCCAACTAGCCCTGCCATGCCTCCAGCCAGCCCGGCACAAGATATCGTCATTGCTGTTGTCAACTTCTCTTGACCCGTCCATTGTTTCGCTTGTTGCGCAAAGTAATTGTATAGTCCGAACCGCGCGGTCGAATACGTGGTTTGTCGAAAGATGGATGCTGACAGCCCAGACCACAGGGAAAAGAACCCTGTGCAGTGTAAGTAATGACGATACTACAAGATTAGCCGTAGCCCTCACCATCCCTAGCAGCGAAACGGTACATTGCTCGAAACATTGACTCCCTTGACTTGAGGAGCTGCATTCGGCTACTACGATCAGTACCCGTTCTGCGCGCTCCTAGCTGTGGACAACTCTTCACTCACTACTTTGTTTGATCCAAAGGATGTGCTGCGATTGCGTGATCAGTAATCATTCGAAACACGGCGATGTCGCTCAATGGCGCGCGTACTGAAGCAGACTGCCATAGAGGCTGCAGCACCTCTGCGATTATCGATCAGCTACCTAAATTCTAGCCTTTGGTTCTAACTTGGAGCCGTGTAACTCACCCAAGCCAGAAAGGCTCCTTCTGCTTGCTGCCGCCGGCCATCGTGTGCTGGTGTAAGTGTGTGCTGTGGGTATATGCAATGCTACATGCAACCAAAGTGCCAAAGGGACTTCTCGACATCTATTTCCAGGAGTTCGATCCATGGAAATGCTCTTTTGATAAGTAATGCGGCATTGCTACCATCAAACCCTTGTCTAAGCTTATCCGCCCACTGTCTGTTGATACGCGACCGGTCTCGTTCTCATCCCGCAATCCCTCGGACTCTAAATGTAGAGCCGGCGAGCTCTCGGCTGCTCGGCGCAATGTTCAAAGAGTCGAGCTCCAATTTCCCCACGCTGATGTCACATGGGACTCTTCGCCTCGGCGCTTCTTTTTGAGTCCGAGGCGCACGGTCGAGGGACCTTCTTTTGTCTTCCGACTTGCGGAACACCTCCGGTCTCGTTCAGTTGGGAAAACAAAACCACTTCTGCATCCCACCACCTTCGCTTGAACGCACGCCTTCTAGTCCGATGAATGATGCGCCCGCAGAGAAACAGTTGAAGCAGAACAGGTCCAGCAATAATCGAGAACCAGAGGAAACCATGTCGAAGCTCGCACCGTCGCTCAAGTCACTCATCAACGCGCCGTTTGCCCGGCCCGGCCAGACGGCTGCGCCGTCGCATATTCGCGAGGTGTACCAGGCCATCGCTAAGGATGCGGCATCAAAGAACGTCGGCGCAAAGCCATGGCTAGCAATTTCGGTGAGATATACCTATCGCGACTTTCGCAGCTTCTATTGTGTAGCCCAATTGACCACAATCGAGCTGGTACGACACTCGTGGGAGCTTAGTTGCTAACCTCGGCATCTCATAGGCCGCGGCAACCTTCACACTCAACTCTCCCGACTCTCTAGAATCCCTCTACAGTGTCGCGTCTTCCTCCGGCCGCCCCGACAAGCGCGAGACTGCCGAGTTCATTCGCGAGATTGGTTTGAAGTGCATCAGCTTCAACGGCATCCCCCGCACCATCAACTGCCTTAACGCCTTCTACGCCAGCCTCCCCAAGGATGTCACGGCACAACTGGAGACGAAGCCGACGCGAACACCAAACTCGCAGAACATCGACGCCATCACAGTTCGCGGCCAGGGCCTGTGGGACTCAATCTACGCCCCCTTCGAGGTCAAGCTTTACGAGAAGCTGGCGCAATCGCACCCGGATCTTCCGGTCCACATTCTCCACAGCCACTATGCGGGTTTGCTGTCGGAGCCGAAGGAGCGGGGAGGTCTGGCCAGCGTCGGGAGAGTGCTGACTTCGATGATTGCCATTTCATGCTTGCGAGCACAAACCGGTGTTGGCCCGCAGGTTCTATCGCACGTTTTCGGCTTGAGAAAGGGACTCGAGGATGGCACATACAAGGCGGACAATCAGGAAGACATTCAGGGTGCGGAGTGGTTGGCTAGCGATGAGGGCAGCGAGTGGATTTTGAAGTCGGTTGATACTATCACGGAGGCCATTGGCGGAGCTACGAGGTCAAACTTCGCTCCAGGACGCGAGTCCAAGTTGTAGATCGCCGGGGCCTGTGATACTCGTCGAGGTGCTGTACACTACCGGGCTCCAGGACCGGATAACTAGCCTTTTTGAATTTGAGCTTTGTCGAACATCAATACTTCCATGCCGTTCATCGTGTCGCCAAATGCGCGTCATTTCTTTCAAGCGAAGACCGTCACAAAGCCACATACGGATGTTGGGTGTCCCCACAGCAACGTAGCATAAAACTCCCAACGCCAAATTTCTCACTCCTCTAGATCAAATATTTGCCGTTGACGAGCGCATGGTTACGTTTGCTCTGATATTGAAAACGGTCTACGGAGCATTTGGAAAAGCTAGGTCTAGAATTTGAAACGCAGGAACTCCGTAACTTGAAGACAAAGAATATCATTCTACCATAATATCTTGGTACGGCCGACACCTCTCGGCACCGAATCCTTGCTTAGCCATCCCTACAGCACCATCTTGAAGTGGGGTTCCCGGTCATCACCTGTTCCAACGAACTGATCATACCTCCCGGCAGCCTTATCGCGGTTGATTTTGGCGCACCAGAGAACATTTACAAAGGTTCTAGACTTTCTGTTAGTATCTTGGCCCACGAATAGTGGGCGGTTTTACTCACGCCACCCATGCGTAGCACAGCAGTCCAAGAATGACAGTGTGGCCCTTATGATACAATGGGCCATCAGTACTAGGGTAGATGAAGGCTGAAAATTAAGTTAGTCAGATTCTTTGTTGATGCGCATTGCAAACCTACTCGCTACGAACCCGCCACAGTTGGCGATGGCAAGCTGAAGTGCGGATGTTGTCGCGCGCTTGTAGTGACCAGCCGAATTGTTGGAGTTCCACACCAGGACGCACGGGACAGCGCTGTACATGCCAATGGCCATAAGGCATGTCATTGCGAATCTCGTCTGTGGCGCCGTGACGTTGGCGATGGCTGCGTAGCCCGCGATGGAGATGGGTAGGACGAAGAGCATGAGTGTGCCACGTAGGCGGAGACGATCGGATAGGAAGGCAACGAGGACTATGAGGAAAGTCAGCTTTAAGCTTAGTCACTATGCCTTTCTTGTATTATTGCTCACCTGTAACGGGGGTCGCGACCGCGTACGGGATCACGGACCAAAGTTGAACTTGGTTAGAGTTGGAAGCGATATGCATATCGTTGATGATTGTCGGGAGCTTTTTGGTTTTAATCAGCTGTGTGAAACTACATATTATATCTCATGAAACTTACGAATAGGCCAAAGGAGTATAGACCAGACAGAATGGCAAAGTAGGCAGTCGCGCTGAGCCAGATCTGAAGGTTGAAAACGCCGCGACCAACTTCAGACCAGCGAAACTTCTCCTCTCTTTCGCGCGAAGAGCTATGGAAATCTTAGTTATCGAGATTCTTTACAATTTGGTGTTGGAGCCTTACTCAAATCTGTCCCCAGCATGACCTTGAAGTCTCAGCAGCGCCCACTCGCGCTCTTCATCAGTTAGGATCTTCGCCGTCGCCAGGTTATTTGGCAGGCCAATGGCGGCAATGATCCCACACACGACCGTCTAAGGGAGCATGTTAACACTCACTGATTTCATGGCCGGGGCTCAAGAACTTACAATGATGCCCTCGATGATGAAGATCCATCTCCAACCTTCAAGGCCAGCCGCAGGACCAATCGCGGACAAGCCTCTGGCGAGAAGACCTCCAAATGCACCAGAGAGAGATGCAGCCGTGTAGAAGATACCAATGCGCAGTGCAAGTTCACCGCGGGTGTACAAGCCAGAAAGATACAGCACCATTCCGGGAAGCAGTCCACCCTCAGTCAGACCCAGGATTGCTCGGACTGCGACGAAGCTGCCGTAGCTACGGACGAAGCCGAGACACATGGCTTTGCAAAGTCAGTGATGGATGATAATTGAAACGTATTCCGTTGAGTCGTTTACGTACTAACAATGCCCCAAGCACAGGTAAGAAAGGGCAGCCATATCCGCGGTGAGACCTTCTTCAAGACGAGATTGCTTGGCAGTTCGCTGGGCGTGCATTAGCGACCGGACGACTGTGGGGAACCACATGGGACGAGAGCACGTTGACAGCGCCAAGATCAGCTGAGAACGGACGGAGAGAGGTTACCTCGCGATGTATGTCGCATAGAAGACGGCCAAGCCTTGGTTGTATTGGTTGTTACTGATGCCAAGGTCCTCGGCTAGGCCAATAATCTTTGCGTTGCCGACGTTGGTTCGATCAAGAAAGGAACAGAGAAATAGTAAAGCCAAAAGTGGTAGGACCCTGTCAATCGTTGCGTGTAAGTTGAAATGGGTCGTCAAAACGGTTGCTTGTAGTTGAAAACGTGGGGAAAGCGCTCACCTAGTATCAACTTTGAAGAGCAGAGTCTTTGTGAGATGCCGTTGACGTTCTGCTTCAACCTCCAGGTGGCTCTCGTCATGCTCAACCTTGGGGTCCATGTCAAAGTCTTTCGATGTCATGTTGATTCGGGTAAGATTTGGCAGTGTAACCTTGGAAAACTCTATGAAGAGACCGGAAAGACGAGAACAGAGAAGACAAGACAACAAGACCCAAGTTCCTATCTGCCAAGCAAGGGCAAAGCTTGGGGGTCCCTCCCCCGTTTTGAAGCCCTTCTTCCCCAGACCCCAAATCTGCGGGGGAGGACGAACCCACGACGGGTAGCATCTTAGGCCATCCCCGGATCGTCTCTTTGACCTTGCCGTCATCCCGTCCAGACCAATGATAAGCCTTTGTTTACTGTACGCCATAGAGCTGACTCGGAGTCTACTTTTGGTCTCCGTGAGCTACTGCAGAAGAAACTCCGAGTTCCCACAACTCCCGGTGCCCCGCCACGAAGACGTCAGAGACTCCCCTGTCTTTGCCTGCATCTTCCCCCTCATGCCGAAGCCACTACTGAACCGCGGGAGCGGAGGGACTCCGTCGTGGTCGGCGTGCAAAAGAACAGCCGAGGCGTCCCGCGCAGGAATCCGTTCAAAAAGATGAAGTCGCGCCCACCTAACCCGAACCTAAAAATGTCCCCCGACAATCGGCCTTCCTTTTTCTTTTACTCGTGCTTAATCTCTGGTCTCTCGTCACAATTAATTGAAACCTTCCCTTTTGTGTTTTGTGGATAAGCCTGCTTCTTCCTCCAGAAAAGGACCGAACAAATGTCTTCCATTACTCGCCAGTTGCGCCCGCGGGTGCTGGTCCGCGCATCCTTCAGAGCTGTGCCCGCAGCGTGTGCGCAACCTCAGCGTTTCCCCCGCGCAAAGATCCTTGGTGTTGCGACATGTCGTGGCATAACGACGACACCAATCTGCAGATCACAAAAGGCGCCTGCTACGAAGAGAGGCGGCTCGAAGCTGTATGCGTCTGCCGATGAGGCTGTCGCGGACATCAAGAGCGGATCAACTATTCTGAGTTCGGGTTTCGGGCTCTGTGGTGTTGCAGGTTAGTCTAGTCGGACGATGTCGTATCTGCACTGCGAAAGATAGAAGAATGGCTGACACATTCGACGACAGACACAATCATCGCCGCACTAAACCGCAGAGGGCCTGAGAACCTGCACTCGCTTACAGCTGTCTCAAACAATGCCGGTCAAGAAGGCAAGGGTGGTCTGGCCGTCCTTACCAAGGCTGGCCAGGTGAACCGCCTGATCCTGTCATTTCTCGGAAACAACAAGGCATTGGAAAAGAAGTACCTCACTGGAGAGATTGGCATTGAGTTGTGTCCTCAAGGAACACTCGCTGAGAGAATTCGTGCCGGTGGCGCTGGAATTCCCGCATTCTTTACGCCTACTGGAGCTCGTAGGTTATACTTTAACAGGATCTAGGAGATGTAGCTGACATGAGTAGACTCTTTGGTTCAAAGTGGTGACATTCCTGTCAAACTCGATGCTTCTGGCGCGGTGAAAGAGCGCGGGCGCACAAGGGAGACGAGAGAATTCAACGGCAAGACATATCTCATGGAGACTGCACTTACAGGAGATGTGGCTATCTTAAGAGCATGGAAAGTGGACACAGCAGGAAACTGCGTATTCAGGTACGCGAACTACATGCGAAATCGCTGAGTGAAGAATCTTGCTAACTGTGTCTTCGTACAGATACACAACCAAAGCATTTGGACCCATCATGGCCAAGGCCGCAACAGTCACCATCGTCGAAGCGGAGAACATTGTCGAGGCCGGCGCAATTGACCCCAACGACGTCGACTTGCCCGGGATCTTCGTCGACCGAATCGTGCCCTCGACCGCCGAGAAGAACATTGAGATTCTCAAGACAAGGGCGGAGGATGGTGAGGGCGAAGATCTGAGTGCACCCAAGAATGATGCGCAGGCGAGGCGCAATCGCATTGCCAGACGTGCTGCGAAGGAGTTGCAGGAGGGTTTCTACGTCAACCTCGGCGTTGGTGAGTTGAGACTCATGCCCCGAAAGGCTTGAAAGAAGGTGCTGACTGTAATAGGTATCCCAACTCTGGCTCCCTCATTCCTCCCGGCTGAACGCAATGTTTGGATTCAATCTGAGAACGGAATATTGGGCATGGGTCCTTACCCTACCAAGGACCAGGTCGACGCGTAAGTATATCCTTTAGAGGAAGTGAGATGTATGCGCTGACATGTCCAACTCTAGCGACATCGTCAATGCTGGCAAGGAGACCGTCACCCTCGTCCCCGGTGCTTCAACATTCGATAGCGCCGAATCCTTTGGCATGATCCGTGGCGGCCATGTAGACGTCTCTATCCTCGGTGCGCTGCAGGTCAGCGCCACGGGCGACTTAGCCAACTACATGATTCCCGGCAAGGTGTTTAAGGGCATGGGTGGTGCTATGGACTTGGTGTCTAATCCCGACAACACCAAGATTGTTGTTGCGACCGAGCATGTTGCTAAGGATGGCTCTTCCAAGATTGTGCAGGACTGCAGTCTGCCGTTGACGGGTGCTCGTGTTGTCAGCACAATCATTACTGATCTGGTAAGTTGAACGCACATGCACTGTCAGGTGATTGATTAAGAGACTCGTTGCTAACAGGAAAATAGTGTGTCTTTGAAGTCGATCGCAAGAACGGCGGCCTGACACTGACCGAGGTTGCGCCCGGTGTTGACGTTGAAGAAGTGAAATCAAAGACAGACGCGACATTTGAGGTCGCAAACGATTTGAAGACGATGGAGTGAGACTGTGTTGTAATAGTAGAGCCCATATTCCAAGATACCAATAGAGAAAGCAATGCAATAAAGGATTCATTCCCCGTGTTCATTCAATCCAAGTGTTATCATTCGTGGCTAATAATACATTATCGTCTATGTGTGCAAGTCATGAAGATCCAGCCATTCATCGGCAGTCGTTCTCCCGGTGCGCTCAACAGAGATTGAATCGGGGGGTATCATCCGAATACATGCACCAGAAGTGTTGAAGACGTGTGAGAGACATCCTCTTAGTCGCTGCTGGAGCTAGAGCTGCTGCTACCGCTGCGCTTGCGGTGCCCGTCCTTCTTGCCATGCTTTTTCTTATGCTTCTTCTTATCGTCTCGGCTGTTTTATTTAGTCCATGTTAGTCGTGCGTCTTGGGCATTTCGAGGCGAACATTGGACACTCACCCTCCCAACGCATGCTCTATCTTATTGGCACCAATAGCGCCAAGAATAGCACCGCCGACAGTTCCAAACAAACCGCCGCCGGCCTTGTGCGCCGCCCATCCGGCCGCTCCGCCACCGACTAATGTTGCGCCGAGGCCCTTATCCTGATCGGGACCGCCGGGACCAGCGCCGTACTGAGGCTGGCCGCCATATTGGGACTGTCCACCATACTGAGGTGTGCCATGTTGCTGTTGCTGGTTATGGGAAAAGCTGTCTCGGTTGTCGTGGCCGTAACTTTGTTGGTGCTGGTTGCCCTGGGCGTAGGTGGGTTGTTGGGGTCCGCCGTATCCGTGCTGCTGCTGGGGAGGGGCGTTGTAGCCACCGCCCTGTTGGTACGGAGAATGTGACTGCTGGGGGTAGCCACCGCCGCCGTGGTGTTGCTGGCCCTTCGGGAAGTGTTAGTGTTACCGGTCTCGATGTTGCTTCTTGTCAACTTAAGTCCTGTCTTGTTGAAGGTCTTACCTGTGCATAGGTGGGTTGTTGAGGTGCGTAACCGCCCTGGTTGTAACCTTGCTGTCCACCGTATCCCTGGTTCTGGTTGTGGCCGCCGCCTCCGTAGTAATCGTTTGCAGACATGTTAAGAATTGGGGTTGCTGAGTTGAGGGAGGAATGGGTGTTTCGAGATGTGCAGTAGTCGAAGTATCGATTGAGGTTTGGTATGCCTGTTGAAAGACCCAACACAATCGAGAAAGAGGGGAGAGCTGAAGCTTTATGAAAAGGCGTCAGACTTGCTTAGGTACTGCTGAGAGAGCCTCGAAGGAACGCTAATCACCATCTAGTCAGACGGAGCTTGCGGAAATTGGCAGGGGCGGGCATAACTCACATGCCGCAAGTAGCCTAACGTGGAACGGGGATTGGATCTCTCCCGTCTTGTCCCCAGTCAAGCCAAGTTCTTCAGCGTCTTGCCCGCGCCCTCGGCTCAGCTTCTATCCTGTCGTCATGTTCGTGGCGCAGTTATCGCGCGGGGTGCCGTGTGTGTTTGTCAGCCCTGCTGCAACCTGCAAGCCACAGACGGTGAGCTGATGGACAAGCTACCAATGACGCGACCCCTCTACCTACTGTTGGGTCGTTCGCATTCGGTTCCTCGGTCGCAGAAAGGTTGTAGGCGAATCAATGACTAAAAGCTCGAGTTCCGTGGGATGCCAACTTGTCATACGCGGAAGCTGCAAGTTCCTTGTCTATGCACACGAAAGGCCCTCACGATGTCTCCATTTCCTGTCACTATCTATCTTGTCATAGTCGAAGTCAGTAATTAACAGTGAGTGGCCTAAATTAATAATATGGTAGATCATGTTTCGTGGAATACCTAGCCTCTGTGATCGGCTGAGTCTGTTTCAAGAATTTGATGGGACGAACTCTCATGCTGGCGCTGTAAGATCACTGCCACCCACCTTCTGTGCTGCTGCACGCCATTAGCTCTTGCATACCCCCAGGAAGCACGGCCATGGCCTATCATCCGGGTCCTCGTGGTGGCCCCAGAATACAATACAGGGGATTACCATCGAGGGGAGTGGAGTTGGGCCGCAGCTGACATCGGCGTCTCCGGCCGCGGCGCGGGTGGGGCCGATTGGCCGAACTTCCCGGGGAAAAGGTCCGAATTGCCACGGCGGATTGGCTTCACGGCCCCGAGAGTTGGATGTCTCCGAGTCCGGCGGTATTATTGCTTAAAACATGTGAATACTTAGTGCCCATCCTTTGTTGAACTGTCGACCGGTAGTCGGTACACCAGCACTGAGTTTATTGGGCTGAATCAGTCTAGAAGTCCCTAGATTAGACTCAATCCCGACCATAGCCGTTTGCACCCGCAGCTTCTCACGACGTATACGAGAACCAGGTCAATCCAACCGACTAACTTCACAGTGATACCTCGTTGGTAAGATGGCCAGGCTCATCTATAGGCCTTCGACCGTTGATCCGGATGAAAGGATGACAACAGGCACTCCCTGATTGGCGTCCAGAATTTGGAAGAGTCTCTCACAAGCTTCACTGTCTTAGAGCTGTTGTTGCGGGGTATTCGACGCCGTCGCAGTGTAGCGCGATCGGATGATACGTAGCGCCTGGGTTAGCATGAGCCAACACACTCTACCCAAATATCACAGGGGCGATCTTGTCACACTGATCGCGTGGAGGAACGGCAATGTTACTGTGTATGAACAGGCAGGAAGCATTAATACCTGGAATAGTCCCATAATCTGGATGATGCGTGTCTATTTTGTACATTTCTCCATCTTGAAGGGACATTGAGTCTTCAGATAACATACAATATCAGATCACGACGCCATGACTAACATCATCAGTAACGTCCTTCCGACCGGAGACCTCTCCACACGCGCCTATGTGCGGTGGGACGCGAAAGGTGTTGAAGAGGTGCCTCCAAATGAAGCAGAAGACATTCGGGCCGTTGCGGATATGATCAATGAGGGGCAGCGCAGGACTTGGAACTCGACACGTCATGGCTATAGTGGTACTCATGCCAGAACACAAGGCATCGTCAAAGGCACATTTATCGTCCCTGATGACTTGCCTCCCCATCTGAAACAGACGGAACTGTTCCAACACGGCGGCGAATACCCTGTAGCCTGTCGGTACAGTTCGGAGCCCGGCGACCCGGGTCTTGACGTGGGTGTTCTTTGCTTTTCATCATCGTCTCTCAAAGTGTACTGTGCTGTGCTTACACGTTGCAGGACCGTATCCCCCAACCCCGGGGTTTTGCCATGAAGCTGTTCAACGTCAAAGGAGAAATGTTTGAGGCAGGCAAGGATACTTCAACTCAGGACATTGAATTCAACAGCACCCCGGCCATTGACCTCGCCGACGCAAAGACGACAAAAGAAATTATCGGCCTTCGGCTTAAGCATGCTGGCAACAAAGAAGAATTGAATAAAGAGCTCAACGCTCGCCAAGATGCGCAACTGCAACTCGCTCGCGACCAGGTTCGCAACACCCACCTCGAGTCCACGCGGCAGTATTCTCAGACGGCGTACCGGTTTGGAGACTACGTCATCAAGTACTCCCTTGTGCCATCTACCGAGACGCAGAGGAAGCTCTACGATGAGACCGTGAAGCCAGAGCATGACGAGTCTATCCTGCAAAAGTGGCTACAGAATTTTCATGCGCACCATGATGCGGAATACCTCTTCCAAGTGCAGCTACTAGAGAATCTCGGTGATCAGCCTGTTGAATATTCAGGCGCCGTGTGGGATGAATCAAAATACCCCTGGCAGACTGTTGGCAAGCTTGTGATCCCACAACAGGACAGTTTCGACTACGAGAGGAAGAGATTTTGGGAAGACTATGCACGTGTTGATCCATGGTATGGGTTGAAGAGCCTTCAACCATTGGGTAGCTCGAACAGGCTTCGGAGGGCAGGTAAGTTCTCTATCTTGTCCTGGCGATGAGAATGCCTCAATGCTTCGGGTTCTAACGTCTTCAGTTTACGCTGCGAGCAGCAGCATGCGACGCAAGTTGAACGGAGTACAAGAGGTTCAAGTTAAAAGTATCGACGAGATACCTAATTGAGTTTCATTCCAGGTATGTTAGTGGGTTGTCGATCAGCGGCGGGCCAGGGGGTTGATGCGGTCGGATGTCAATGTATTCCTATGCTGCCTCAAATTGTGTACAAAGAAACATCTAGTATTCATCTGCTATTAACAAAATTCACAAGTATAATTTTCGATTCAAACGAGTGTAATTTACTAATACTTGATGCGTACTTAGACGCCTCCACGCCGACCGATCAATTGAGGTGACAGCTGGACCATCAATCTGGAAACCCAACGACCTCTCAGGACCCAGAAATGCCGACGGCAAATCCTCATGTTGCCTCTTCAGAACAAAGAATTCAAATGATTTGCCAGGAAATCCGTTTTTTAACTTCCCGAACGAATGTCCAAATGTTTGTTTCGCAAAATACTGAGATCTACCTAACACTTACCTGAGTGCCAAGCCCTTGCCCTCAAGGATTCGTCAAAGCCCGGCAGATGTTAGTGTCTCTCGAAAATACAGGTATATCTTTTGAAATGCTGCTCTTGGTTCAGCTGGGTGCTTCAATCACTATCAACCATGTTCAGAGTCCACGCTCAGCGTGACACCCCCCCCCCCCCCTTGACATATTCGTCTCTTGACCCAGTTTCCAATGAGGAAGATACTCTACAGCTGGGTGTTGGTTGAGCATTCTTTTCATGCTCAGTATAGCATCGCTCGAAACGGACTCCCTCAGACAGCCAAGTCGAATCAGAAAATCGACCATAACGAGTGCGCAATTTGGCTTGAATTGATCCATAAGAAGAAGCTGAACAATCTGCTCGACTGATTTGGTTTCAATGCATTTGACTTCTTCCGTATTGAACTTATCGAGAATTGGGTCTTCATTCAGTTCGAGATCGTACGCAATCTTGACACCAAGTTCAGGAGTATTGGCAAGGCTTCCTGATCGCGCGTCCCGAATATAAGCGTATTGAATCGCATGGGGTCCCTTGATTTTGTTGATCCAATCTTCTCGTAAACCTTCCCTTAGTTCCTCCTTAACCTCCCGTTCAATACATGCTTTTGTAGACGTGTCATGAGAGTCGCCGTACTGCTGGATATCTGGCTCCATGAGTTTGTACTGGTAGCCCCCAGCAGCGCACTGATCGTACATGCCGGCAAAGCTTTTTTTGCCAGAACGTCGTGCGACCCAAATACGAAAGCTGGCGCCATCACGCTTGTAGATATTCAGATGAACACCGGTCGTTACGATACCGAAGACGGGGGACAAGCCACAGAGAAAGCCGGTCTTGATATCCGTACCATACAGCGGCCACATTTCTTCCTTGTCAGCCCATAGGCTTTGGCCAAATTTGCCTTCACATGCATCCTTTTTTGGAGAAAGGATCTGTCTTATTTCTTTGGTTGCATTGACGAAAGTCTCCGAATTCTCTAGATGGGCCGAGTCTAGTTGAACTCGATTCGGTTCCCTAACTTTCGTTGAAACAAGGAACGAAAGATATTTCTTCAGCGGCATTTTCAATTCTTGTAGAAGGTTGGCGTCTTGAGAGCGAATAAGCCCCAGTTTCTGCCAAGCATCTCCCTTGAAATAGCCGAATTCCCAGTAATCTGGTGTCTTTTCGAAGTTGTTGTAGGTTTCGACGAGTCTGAGTAGACTGCTGTGAACGGGAGTCTCCGGAGCTGGCATGGCGAACGCCGTGCAATTTTCGAGAGGTTTGGAGATATTTCCTTTTAGTCTTCCTCCCTAGACGATTCTGAAGAACAAAGCTAAATTTGCGTACAGAATTTTATGTTGTAGTTTGCTCAGTTGAAGTATTGACGGTTGACTGCAATATTTTCTAAACTACACTACAACACACCTTCGTCGTCATGGCCGATTTAAACATTTTCATCCCATAAGAGAGATGAAAGACCTCGAGGGATCTATTCAATACTGATTTCTTCGACAAAGCCGCAACCCAGTTCGCTTACCGGTGTGCATATTGGGGGCAAAGCCGAAGCTCAACATTTCACTAGGCTGCATTGGAATGTCTACCAACAAACACATTGTATTTCAAAGTGCAATGAGAATAGGGTTACTTTTGTTGGAGGAATACTATACGTGAAGGCTTAACACAGGGACACGACTACATGAGAGAGCTAGTCTCCTTCTGATGACAGGCATTTTGCCTTATCCGGATGGGCCCGAGGAATACATAATGCATTCGGTACATATGATATATTAATGCCTTCAAGTTTTGAAAGAGACATGTACAGCTGGTATTGATTCCCACGTAAGACCGATTAACTGTTTCGAAGCTTGGAGTCCTGACGTAGACTTTTATCTGCTCCGGCGCTAATGCACTTTGGTAGATTTCTTTCCAGCTTCTGCTTCGGCGCTGACGACCACTTCACCCTTCAATTCTTTGACGACGTCCATTTTAGTCTAGGGTAAGTATTGAGGGCTTACCATATCATAGTATGTATGCAGACAGACAGCAGAGTGTCTCCTTGGCTGCATCTACCACAGTCCTTGGTAAACAACACAATGGAAGTCAACGCTGGTTTTGAATTGTCAAAATACCTCGTGGTGAGCGCGTGTAACGAGAGCATAGAGTGTGTTCAACACGAAAGAGCCTCATTGTTCAAATTCTTTCAAAGTCGGCATTTGGTGTGACACTAAGTTGAGTGTAGATGATGATTTAGTACTGTGTAACACTGCAGTTTTGGCTGATGATGGCCTCATACCCAATTGGGATAGCCGCGGGGTGTTCTCGGTAAACATGCTAAGTCTCGGTGACTTTCGGTATATCTCGGTGTAGGTGCCGACTCGACTGCCGGTTGAACATTTAGCCCCGGAACCGAGCTTAGAGCTCTGCGTATGGTTGCCGAACCCAATTGCCATGCCATGCGGGTCCCCCACCTCGGCTTTGGGGATCAAGCTGGGGAAGTTGAGCGGAAGAAAGGGAAGAGCTATTCTCCCTGACTAACAGTACATTGCTCAAGCTCCCCCGGTTACCAAGCGATCTCGCTCACATTTACCCGACTCTTTTTCGAGACAGCCTTGGCCGAGGGCTACTTTCTAAACTTTGTTTCCTCTTTTCTGTACAACAAGTCTGGCTTCCTGTCAACATTCAGAGTCAATTGACGGCCGTAGCTCCGAGAAACATCACAAACATGTCTATCCCCAAAGGAATCTCGTCCGTCTTGAAGAAGGCGCCCTCCGACGTCGTCATTATGTCGTCGCTGCGTACGCCTGTGTGCCGGTCGAACCGCGGACAGCTCAAGGATGCATACCCCGAAGAACTGCTTTCGACCGTCCTCAAGGCCACCCTCGAGGCCAACCCGAACCTCGACCCCAAGAAGATTGAAGATGTTGCCGTCGGCGTCGTGCTCTCGGAGCTCGGCGGCTCCAAGGCGGCCCGTATGGCCATGAACCACGTCGGCTACCCCAACGACACCTCCTTGTACACCGTCAACCGCGCCTGCTCGTCATCACTGCAGTCAATTGCCCTCATCGCATCGCAAATCAGGACCGAGACGATATCGGTGGGTATTGGTGCCGGAATGGAGAGCATGACCCGCAACTACGGCAGCCGTGCGATCCCGGTAGATGTGTGGCCCGCCCTTAAGGAGTCGCCGGTCAAGGACGCGAGAGATTGCATCATGGCCATGGGCATCACATCTGAGAACGTTGCTGAGCGCTACGGCGTCTCCCGGGCAGACCAGGATGCGTTTGCGCTGCGCAGTCACCACAACGCCTCAAGGGCGAGAGAAGATGGCTCCTTCGCCAAGGAGATTGTTCCCGTCACAACAAGATTTCAGGAGACGGACAAGCAGGGCAACAAGGTCGGAGAGGAGCAGACAATCACAGTCACGAAGGACGACGGCATTCGCGCCAACATGGCCATTGAGGCCTTGCAGAAGCTGAAGCCGGCATTCAAGGCCGACGGCGCCAGCACGGCAGGCAACTCGTCGCAAGTGTCTGATGGCGCGGCCGCGACGCTCTTGATGCGCCGAAGCACCGCCACAGAGCTGGGCCTCACCGACAGCATCATCGGCAAGTTCGTCGGAGCCACAACCGTCGGATGCGCTCCCGATGAGATGGGTATCGGACCCGCCCTGGCGATCCCTAAGCTTCTGGGCCAGTTCGGCCTGGAGAACAAGGACGTGAACCGCTGGGAGATCAACGAGGCCTTCGCCAGTCAGGCGATTTACTGCCTGAGAGCGCTCGAGCTGGAGCAGGCTTACGAGGATGGCAAGGTCAACCCCGACGGTGGTGCCATTGCTCTGGGCCACCCTCTTGGTGCTACCGGTGCGCGCATGACGAGCACCCTGCTTCACGGTCTCGGAAGATCTGGAGGCGAAGTTGGTGTTGTGAGCATGTGTGTCGGCACAGGAATGGGCATGGCTGGCCTGTTTGTAAGAGAGTAGGGTGTTAGTATGAAATCGAAGCTATCAGCATGTATCTGTGCCGCGCACTAATGGTTCAGAAGTTCCGAACCTATGTTGTCCGACTGCTCGCTCCTATATTCACAGCGCGAAGTCCTAACGATCGTCCTAGGTGAGTTTCTATCACCAGGACTACTTGCAACCAACCTTGATGAAATCTGCTCTATTTGTGCTCTTATCTCTTCTCAATCACATCCACTCTTCATTAATTGGGGCCGGATAGATTGTAAAGGCCCCGGTTCTTGGTATCATTTCTCACCAGGTGGGCATCGTGCATTCCCCCAGGATCGACACATAGGTAGATGGATCTTTTTGTTGTGAAAGTCTGGACGGTCCATTTACCGCCCACCTAGCAACAATTTTCCGCATACTCTCGATAATCGCTCAATGAACAGAATTCCATTGATTGGGCAGACGCAAGGATTTCGTGCAAAAACGCGCATTGTCTGTGAAGTTTAGAAACCAGTTGCCCCTCCATCGACGTTGCTCTACCTTCGCAAAGTTGGTGCACGTTAAGCGCCCGTTTCCAAAAGTGGCACCAGGCGAAAGGCAACCATAGCCAATCACCAACAGACAAGACATGTAGACAACCAACCCATCCAGGCGTTATGTCGGGCCACATGTAACATTCGACCAGGATGATCATTGGCGCATTCTCCGTCGCTTGGGACATGCCTGCAGGGACGCGGATACTCGCATCTCGATAATCAGGCTGTAAGCGAGTCTGCGCAAGCGCTGTGACGGAGTCATTGCCTTTCTTTTCTCTACAACACCGCGCACCTTCTTTCCGGAGAAAACTATATTCTCACTCGAATATCTAATCATACTCCCTAGACAAACGACGAGAAATGGAGGTAGTTGGGGCGGTAGCGAGTTTCATAGCCATAGGCCAGGCTTTAAGCACCGCTCGTCATGTCGCTCACATTGCCCGAGCGATCCCAGGGATAGAAAGCGAGCTGCGGTGGCTTCAAAATGAGGTCTGTGACGACGACAACATCAGAGCAACCTAATCATGTTGAAGACCTTGATAGCAGAAAGTTTGTTCGCTAACCTTGAACATGATACTATAGGTCGAAGCTTTAAAACTGATCGAAGCAGAACTCGCTAGGGCGGGAGTCATTGCCAACGATTCAAAATTCGAGACACTGTACCTAGAAAAGGCTATGCTTCAGCTTACAGAATCTACAACGAGCCTCGAAGAAATCCGAAAACGCTGCACTCGATCACCTAGTGCCGACGGCAAAGACAAGATCAAAAAGAGAGCATGGTTCTGGCTACAGGCTGAGCTCTCCGACTGTCGAAATAAAGCGCGAGACGCCAGAGAAAACCTCCAACTTGCGCTCCAATCAATCAATGCTCAATCTATCACGTAAGGCTGATGCCGTCAACTGAAAGATATAGGCGTTGAGAAGCTGAAAACCAAGTCGTAATCTAGGAAGCTCGTTTTGCAAATCGAGAGTCTGAGCATGCAGATGGTTCCGAATGTACAACGGCTTGAAAGCTCTACAGGTACTGGAGACGCTCCGGAGAGCCCGACATATAAAGATGAGAGGTCACCACTCCTTGGTGAAGACTCAGCAGCACTCCAAGATGACAAAACTCTACAAGCTGTAGCTGTGAGACAAACCCAACAAGCCTTATCGAACCCTCAAGCATCAGCAACCGCTGGAGTATCAACCCATCAGGCCACGAATGTTGTTTCGAGTATCTTTAACCAAACATCAGGCCTTCTGCAAGACCGGTGCCCAATTCCATGTTGCTGTCGGTGCCATGCTTCGAAGCCAGTCTCGTATACTCCCACGAGATGGGCTCGAAGCCTAGTGGGCAGTCTCAATCTCAGTTTCAACCGTCAATTAACTTTCCAAAACAACACGAAATGCACTGAGGATAGCTGCAAGAACAGAGCAGGAACATCGATAATAGTCGAGTATCAGTTCCCGCTTTGGCTATGTTCCAGAGCAGTCCAAATGCAGACCTTGGTGGGCGTTACGACTGGGCTGCGAGTGTCACTTAGACCTGCTAGGGTTCTCCCTTTTAGTTCGAGTTTCTGGCGTTTGATTGATTCTGATTGTTCTGAGAGCTCAAAAGTAACAGTCCAACAGTGGATGTTACATCATGGAAATGTGTTTCCAGGTGACGCGAGCCCTAACGGCGTGACTGCCTTGGAGGTAGGTCTCGCAGCAGCCGTTTCTACTCGCACGCGTATGATTGACGAAACAAACAGTGGGTCATAGGTCAAGGAACAACCGATGTATTTCTCTACTTGTTCCAGATCTGGGAAGACCAGATACTGAATGGAAATTACGATGAGTAAGTTTGTCACTGCATCACTAGGCTCTGACGAGTAGCTACTTACATGTTGTCAATACTGTTGTAGCTCTTGGTTTTATGAGGCGCACGATAAGATTGCGAACACGGCTTCTCTACCCGAACAGAAAATGCAAGTGCTCACTCGAATTTTGTCTGCTGGTAAATGGACCGTGAATGCCAGTCAGACCCCGCTGCATGATGCCCTTTGCAGGGGTGATTTCGACGCTGCGTTCCGAGCTGCCAAAGATTTCAGTTGGGCCCTCAATCAGCGGAACTACGAAGGCAACACGCCGTTACACATCGCTGCAACACAAGGTCATCTCAATAGCGTCAAAAATCTCGTGCAATTAGGTTGTGATATCAACGAGGCCAACTGGACGGGTCGTACAGCTCTAATGCTTGCTTCTAAAGGCGGCCATATACTCACGGTGCAATACCTGATTGATGCTGGTAGCTGGGTTAATGCCACTGACAGAGGGGGCGATACTGCGATGATGGTTGCTGCCACGGCGGGGCACAACAATCTAGCCGCAATCATTCAATCTCTAATCCGTGCGGGAGCATCAGTAAACATTACTGACCAACAAGGGTTTCATGCCATCCATCATCTTACTTCGTCTTACAACAAAGGCCGTGTCATTCGAGAGAGCTTAAGAGTCCTTATGGAAGCCGGCGCTGACATCGAATCCCGAAATCGTCCTGGGAGAACTCCGCTCTTGGTCTCGATTCAGAGCGGAGATCGCAGAGGTACGCAATGCCTGATTGAGGCAGGAGCCAAGACGACATACGTAACACGCGATGGTTGGGGCTTGCTTCACGAAGCAGCTTTATATGGAACCACGAAGACGCTTCGATACCTTTCAACTCTTAACTTACAGACTATAAACACGGGTTTGCGTACCGGCGACGGAGAAACGCCTTGGGATTACTTGGTTTTCTCAATTCATGCGCAGGATTGGCAACGTGCAGGGACCTTAACGCTGACCTCAAAACGACAAGAAGCGTTTGTCTCATTGTTCAGATCAATCAGGGATAGAAATTTGACGCTTGATATAGAGCGGCTGGATTGGCTACTACAATATTTGAAAGATAGGGATCGACGAGGCGCCATAGCTGCATTGAGCCCTCTGATCAAGCAAAAAGAAGATTGGAAGCGATGGGAAATTCTTGGTACATATAAAGCCATCGGCTTACAGGTCCGAGAAGAGATGTGGGAGGCAGCAGTTGAGTCTGTTGAAGAGGTTATCGACTGCTTGCGAGAAAGAATGGCCACATCCCCGTGCGACAGCGAATCGTACTACGATCCAATTACTCATACCATATACCGAGCCAGAGAACTTGTATGATTTTCAAGCTATCACGGCCGGATTCCAACATGATGGATGGGAAGGCACAGCCACTGAATGATGGATTATGAGCTGACACATTTGAATGAAAGTCGCGGAAGCGACTTTTGACGTAAGCAGGGGACCTATACGGGGATAAGATGAGTTTCTTCAATCCAACACTCGTTCAAGTTGTAAAGCCGCAAATAAGTTGAATATCTAATGGGGAGCACAAACCACCCCGATCGTAAACTCACCACTATCTTTACTAATTGCAAGTCGCGGTGACTTGCCAAAACATTCCTTATTCTGCATTTGCTAGAAGCTTCTGGGTAGAATAAAAAGGCCTCCACAATACTCTCAACGTAGATCCCGTCGTAGCCAGATCCATTTGAGCGTGTAGGTTGAATTGCTGATTCAGTTCAGGGTTGCTCTATGCCTACGAGAGCTCGTCAACGGCAATGCCCGAGAAAGCAGGCTATCAACCACTACCAAACGATACCTCCGCCTGTCATCAAATATTATGACGCTCAGAAACAGAGAGTATTCAATAGGTATTCCCCAACTGCCATGGCATGCATCGTCCTTGACCACCAAGTCCCCACTCAGGTGTCCACCATCCATTGTCCATGCCTCCGGCCACGCACCTCGAGAGCCATTGATCCACCCAACACGTTTTCGAACGAACCATCTTTATCCCTTTCACACACCTCCTCCATATCCCCGGTCTCAGAGTCCCAACGCAACTGGCCCTAATGCCACTAACCCCAAGCTAACCCCAGCACTTTCCATTCCCTCGGGCCTTGGCACGCGGGGCTCCATTTCCCCATTTCCACAGTTTGGGTGCTGTGGGTTGCTGCTCACACTCCAGTTGCAGTGGCTGACCAACTCCAACCTCTCCAGTGGCGGCGGGTGGTGGTGCTTCGTGGGTTTGACTGACTCTTGTCCTCGCACGCTATCTCCTGCTTATCCTCCAGACGGCTTGTCTCATCGAACCCCCCCTGCCCTTATCCATTCCCATCGACCGCCTCTTTCTTTCTTCTCCCTTCGGATCCTAAATCTAACCCCCGAGAACCCCGCGTTTGCTGCCCAGAAACGCGGCTCCGACTTGTTGGAATCTGTCGCAATCTGGTTTCTTCCCCATGTGTCGTTTCCCCAGCTATCCTCTAAAACGCACCGGATCTCAAATGTTGCCCCCGCTGGTCCAGTTACCCCGGATTCGGGGATCACTCGTAGAAAGGCCCTTTGCGTGGGGTATCAACGATGCAACAGTCTTGAAAAGTTCATAAATACCACGTTCCTGCTGGTTGTCCAACACTTCGGGTTGGTTGACAACGAGAAGCAAGAGGCTGTGACTCCATCCTCGTTTATGCTTATTTCTTAGACCGCAACTCTCTTCACCGCAGAGTTTAGCCCCGCCGATCCCTCTTTTTTCTGACAACCCCCCATCCCCGAGAAGCAGACTTTGCTAGGCGCACAATCCGGCCCGAGCACGACATCAATATCAGCAAAATCTACAATGGGTGCGAGCGAGAAGCGTTCACCTTCGGTGGAGCGCGAAGAGCATGCCATCCATACCGTTGACAGCGTGATTATGGACGAGAAGCCCATCCCTCAGGATGAAGAGAACCGCGACTGGACCGGGTCCGCAAAGAAAACCGACCCGGAAGAGATCAAGCTGGTGCGGAAGCTAGATTGGCGGATCATGGTAAGTTTTCAATACCTCTTGATAACACAGATGCTCGTTCATTATCTAACAACTTCTTCAAACAGCCGACACTGTGTATCATGTACTTCTTGAGTACGATTCCCCGCTCGATATTCCATCATCATCAGATTACCTGACTGACCAATCAGACTACGTCGATCGTAATGCCATTGCTCAGGCACGACTGAACAACTTGGAGAAGGATTTGGGCATGTCAGGAACAGAGTTCAACACCACAGTTTCAATGTAAGACGCGAGGCTCGGGCAATGAACAAAGCAGGAGAACCCCGCTTAACAACTTCATAGTCTCTTTGTGGGCTACGTCCTCATGCAGATTCCGTCCAATATGTTGATCACCAGGATTCAACCCGGCATGTATATGAGCGCCTGGATGTTGATCTGGGCTGTCGTCTCAGGTATGAAATCTGTCAGATCATAACGTGGTCATCAAGCCTAACAGACATCTAGGTTGCACGGCACTTGTTCAGAACTACGGAGGTCTTGTTGCTTGCAGATTCTTCCTCGGCATCACTGAAGCTCCCGTAAGTCACATCATTTAGCGTCGGGCTATGGAGTCTCTCACTTACACGGCATAGTTCTACCCGGGCGCAACCTACATGCTATCAATCTTCTACACCCGTAAAGGTCAGCCCCCTCCTCCCTCTCTATCCAACCTCTAACTAGATCCGCCAACTAATACCCCGCCACAGAGGTCGCCTCCCGTATCGCCCTCCTCTACTGCGCCCAAATCCTCGCAACAGGCCTCTCCTCCCTCATCGCTGCCGGCATCTTCGCCGGCATGGACGGCCTCAACGGCATCGCAGGCTGGCGCTGGCTCTTCATCGTCGAGGGCGCCGCCACCGGCCTCGTCGCCCTCTTCGGCTTCTGGCTCCTCCCCAACACGCCCCTGACGACGCGCTGGCTCAACGACCGCGAGCGCGAGCTCGCACACTCCCGCATGGAGAAGGATAAGCTGTCCGACTCGGATGATAAGAAGGCCTCGGCTATGGATGGATTGAAGCAGGCCGTGAGGGATAAGAGGACGTGGTTGTTCTGTTTAATGCAGAATTTCCATTTGAGTGCCTGCAGTTTCAACTCCTTCTTCCCCGTATGTCTCTCTTCTCCTATTGCGGTTGGTAGATGCACAGCTAACGGAAAGCAGACTGTCGTCAAGACTCTCGGTTTCAACACGACCATCACCCTCGTCATGACCTGCCCGCCCTTCATCTTCGCCGGTGCCGCGGGCATCTTGTTCGGCTGGAGCTCCGGTAGACTTCACGAGAGAACATGGCACATCACAGTCGGCCTCGGCGTCGCCATTCTCGGCTTCGTAGTGGCGGCCTCCACGCTCAACACAGCGGCACGATACGTTGCCTGCTTCATCTTCCCCATGGGAGCCTATGCGGGTTAGTACTTGTTATCGCTCTTCCATGCTTAGACATTTTGCTGATTCTCCATGCAGTGAACTCCGTCATCATTGGCTGGGCGTCTTCGACGCTATCACAGACAAAGGAGAAGAAGGCAGTCGTCCTCGCCATGACCAATGTCGGCGGCCAGATTGGCTACATCTACGGTGCCTACCTCTGGCCCAAGAGCGACGAGCCCCGCTACGCCATTGGCTTCGGTGCCTCCGCTGGCTTCGCTTTGCTCTCGATCCTCTGCGCGTGGTGGATTCGTGTCTTGCTTGTCAGGGAGAACCGGAGGATTCGTGCTTCCACCTCGGAGAATGTGAACTTATACGGGTACTAGGTGGCCCAAGGAGGGTCTGAATCTATCAACACGGGAGCTTGACGGTGTTTTTATATTTATTTTATGTGGATGAACCAGCCAATGTAGCTGCTAGGCCTACAGGGAGCCATGCTGCCATCTTGAGTGAGGCGAGTAAGCTTGAGATATTAAAACGGGGGAATAGACATAAGATTATTCACTGCAATACGCGGTCAATATAAGGACATATGTGAGATCTGCTATCTGTGAGTAAAATATTGCAGTCCTACAGGCCTAGTGCTTCTAGGTAAAGGTAGTTTCCATGTCAGTAACCTTATACGCAAACACACATCACATTCAATGTGCATGGTATCAGCGGTATCACTGGTCATGTAGGTAGCCATGCATCGTCAAGACCACAATGCGTGTGCCTTTCCAATTCGTATAGAGTAAGTAGATCAACGCAACCTGTATGGGAGACTAGTAGTTTAGGTGAATATGCTGTTCCTACCTATGAGGAAGTCCACGACAAACCTTCAAACACTCAACACAGAGTATTCACCTCGACCACAAGCTTTGTAAACAGCCATCTTTAACGCATGACCGACGTTGGAGCTTGATAATTCTATCGACTGGACTAAATTCAGAGGCTGATGGCTCCTTTACAGTGATGAGTCGCTTCTATGACAGCACCGGGCACAGAATCTTTTCTCCTAGAGCGGCCTTGGATTTCACAAGTCATCAGGCTTTAGTTGGCGGTATTGTTCAATTACTATGATGTATCCAAATCTCAGCTAAGTCGAACGTTATGGAAAGCTGATAGGGTTTGGCTTAAAGTGGCACTACATACCTATGGGAAAGTCGTTAGAAACCCATAAATTATTCATCCTAGAGATCTCATATTCGACGTTGCCCGTCTATCCGACATGAGTCTTATAGCTTCGGACAGGGCAGCGTCTACCTTGAAGTCAGACACTGGTTCGTCTAAGAGCGCTTGAGTGGTACGGCGACGACATGTATCCCAGTACGAGTTCCTCACTTACGTTACCCATACGTGTCGAACAAGGTACGCAGTTTCAACGAATCGATAGTCATCTTACAAGAACAGGAAGCTTCTCTACTTGTTTCATCTTCTACACTATCCATCTCCGAGGTATTAGAAGTCCTATGCGGCTGATACGTTTCACATCAATAAATTTCACAAGAGCGACCTGACCATCCAATTACCTACAGTAATACAACCATCTCGAAGCAATGAAAGCAGGCCGCCGTGACGTATTGATAGAAATCCTCACTCTAAAAGACAAGTAGGCTTGAACAAATGAGACGATACGAAAAGTGCAATGAACTGATCATGTGACGTTCCATGAGTCTGAACTTGAGTTATGAGTGGCATCATCTGCCACAGTTGAATCAAGGGTCCCGCCATCTCGATCGTTGAGCCGGCTTATCGGGTGCAATTTACTGCCCGCTAGTAACTGGATAGCCGTGATCTTGCTCTGTTTCAGGCCTAAACTTCAGAATGGCTGATGGGCGAGTTGTCAAGCATGACGACAAAGGTTAACTGATATGACGTTAAACCTTGATATCCTCCATCGAGGCTGTCGAGAGCGGCACGACTCATGCCGCTGAAAGAACGCACCGGCCAAGGACAAGGCGTCTCTGCGTG